GAATTTTTAATAAGTACTAGCAGCACTACTTATATAGACTTAAAAAAAAGAAATAAAGTAGTTTTAAAAAATATAACTATACTTACTATACTTAAAGCATTAACTTTTTTTTTTATAATTTTTATACTTTTTAGAACTAACTAAAGTATAATTTAAATTAATTTTTATTATATTAAGGTTTTTATTTATAACTGCGCTAGTTTAGGGGCGTATTAGAGCTTGTACAAAGAGGAACCTTATATTATTATTATAAGTAGTAATTAGGTTTATATATGTGTTAAGGTTGTTTAAAAGGGGTTCTCTTACTATAGCGTGTTACAGTTTAGTTAAGAGGGAGTTATATAAAGCTATAATTAGACTTATTTTATTTAGGCTTATATTAGATGCAAGTTAGTACAACTTAGTAAAGTATAAAGTAAAGCTTTTTTTTTTATTATAAAGTGTTTAAGTAACTTAGAGCTATTAACTTTTTATTTAAGTTTTTATAAGTTACTTATAAAAACACTATAAATTAATTTAAGTTAATAATATCTTTATTTATTAGTAAGTTAATTAAGGCTGTTATATTATAGTTAAGTTAAAAGTAAGCATATAGTAACTAAAAGTGTTTAAAGAAGAATTAGTTTATGTTTTCTTTAAGTTTATATTAAAGCTTATATAAAAAGAAAAGTAAGTTTTTCTATTTTTTATTAAATAGTAAAGGATTAAAAAGTTAGTTAGATTTTATTACTAAGTTAAAAAAGTTATAAGTTATAAGTAGTGTTAGGTAGAAAAAAGTTAAGCTATCTCTAGACTTCTAAGTAAGCTTTAAAGCTAGTAAGTTCTTAGTTTCTACTACTATAATAAAAGTTAAGGTAGAAATAGACTACTTAATAATATAAAGCTGTTCTTTAAAGTTCTTTTAAAAAGCTTTAAAGCTTATAATATAGTAGCTTTTTTATAAAGTAAGCGCTTTTTAAAAGGCTTTTTAGCTTACTTTAATAGCTTAAAGTTATATAAGTACTAAGCTTATTAAATTAAATTTAAAGGCTATTTTTAGCTAAAATTTTAACACAACATAATGTTATAATTATGTATAAGTAAGGTTATAGAGCTTTATAAAAGTCTAGTTTAATTACTACATAAAGTATTATAGTAAGTATAAGATGTTATATAAAAAATAAAAAAGTTTAAAAAAAAATTAGTAATTAAATACTTAGCTTAAAAGTCTAAGCGCTTTAAGTATAAATTAAGCCTATTTTAAGTTTAGTTAGTGTTAAAGCAGTTTATGCTTAAGTTTATGTCTATATTATGTTGTGTTTGTGTTAGACGTGCACTAATAATACTCTAGTACGCGTCTAATACAGTTATGTCTGGGATCTGGGGAGGATACCGTGACACTTCTAGATCTTTAGAGTCCTTAGACAACAGCTAGTTAAGCTGTAGACATAAGGGTGATTGTAATGTCTCTAGCCTACTATCTACTAGACTATAGCTTAACAACTAGTAGACTAAATCTCCCAGAATTTTACAGGCTCCCTAACAGAGCTAGTCTAAGACAGTGTTACGACCCAGGATGGGGCCGTAAGCGAGTGCCGGACGGCCAAGGAAATGTATGACTACTACTGGTGGAATGCTCTCTGGGCGGCAAAGCGAGGCTTGGCGCAACCCCGCCGGAACGATCGGATCATGGTATACCGATCAAGTATAGGCTGACCGCAGCGACCGCAGTAACCGCAGAATGGGTCTACGGTCGCTACGGTCGTGACGGTCAGCGCGGTCAACATGACAGGTATATAGTCTTGATCCCGACCATGGTTAGAGGGTTGTGATTAAAGTTTAGTTTTATCTTTACAATAAGACTAAGTAGCTATAATTGTTTACAAAGACATTATTGCTCTTGTATATCTTGCACTATACGAGCAGGTATGAGCCTTCCTTTTCGGAAGCTTGGATGAGGAAAAATTAGCAATAACAAAGGAAGAATAGAGATATAGACAAACAAATCTCCCGTGCCGCCAACAATGTTCATACGGAGCACCGCGTTGGTCAGTTGCAAAGTCAGACAATAGGCAATAGGTTTAACATTCAGAAGAGATACTGTAGTACCGGAATACAGACGCCGACACACTGATTCCGGCTTGGCGACACCTTAAAACTGTGAACAGTAACAAAGGGGCAAACTTTAGCCCACTAACAACAGAACACAGCATTATAATATTGCATTAAAACATCTAGAATATAGTAATAGACCTAGTAAAATATATTTATTTGCCTTAAAAATCTAGAATATTTGCAAAAGTGGTAGAAAGTTTTATAGGCTAATTAGATATTAATCCAGCCCTTTTTTAAACTAATAAGAGAAAAGGCTTGGCAAGATGTACAGTGAATAATAGAGATATACACTCTAATTATCATCTTAACAAGATCGTTTTCCCCGCTCCTCATACAGCGTCAAGGGACAAACCACGATAGGCTTAAACCATCTCCGTCGCCCTCTAGACACGATCTAGGACCGTACACCCTAGCACCGTGTTTATCTCCAACTCTCGCCACAACTCACCCGGGCCCGCGCACCGAACCTCGCGTCCTGATTAGCACGTGACCAGTAAGTGGATATTGTAACAGACAGCTTCTAGATCTTTAGAGTTCTTAGACAACAAATAGTTAAGTTAAAGTAAGGTAAGTAATTAAGCTAATTACCTTCTATAGCTAAAGCTTAATAATAATATAATAAAATTAGCTAGAATTTAGTATAGTATAAGAACAGGCTTGTCTTAGATAAACCTTAAATTCTAATAATAATATATTATGTAGTTAGGGAGTTGCATTAAGGTGCAGTTATAGGGTTATTATAATGCCCTACGTAGAGCTTAATAACGCAGTACTTTACTAAATATTATTAGAAACAGGTTATAAAAATAATAGAATATAGCTAGAGACTTTTTTTATTACCTATTAAAATCTAAGCTAGTTTAGATGTATAGTAGTAGAGCTATAATAATTCTTAGTTAAGCTAGTGCATAGTAGAGAAGGTTTAGAACTATAATATTACCTAGAAAATTACAAAAGTCCCTTAGACAGCTAGGGAGAGAAAGCCTTTCTTACACCCTTATTAGCTAGATGTAAGGACGGAGCTCTGTACCACTGCGCCAATACAACCAAAAAGGTGCGAATAATCAACCAACAGTTGATTATTGCGTACAGAATAGTATATATACCCGTCGCACGTAAGCGCCATCTCGGCCTTACACTAGAGAGATGGGGCTTGCGCCACTAAGGCTACTAGCCAGGGTTCTAATTGACCAGCAGGGGCTTGCCCCTGTCGAGGCTCTCTCCCCATCCCGTCTGAGCTTGCTGAGATAACCCACCAGGTTGAATGTCAGCCCCGCTAACGACTAAAGCGCTAGCGTAGACTCTAAATACCTCTGCTTCCATATCCTCGTACCTGGGGAACTTAAGAGCAACCCCATCCGTCGACATAGTCTCCAAAGCGTGACTCGACCTGGGAAGATATACACGGGAAGGGCTTTTAAGTTAGAAACTGAAGTGGTGCGACCCGAGACCGTTAATATAGATCAAGGCTCGACGAGCTTCTCTCCAATAAGCCCAGATATATGATTTATGGAGGCTGAAGACTTACACAATCTGCATATGCAAATTCTTGATGGAGGATGAAAGTCAATGTGCTCCTGATGTTCCACACCAACAAAGTATATGTGAAGCTTGTGGGAGCACCAGAGGCGTGAGTACTTAGATTAATTGCTAAAGGAGTGTACCTAGGGGTCTATATATATGCAAGAAAAAGGGTAGGTCTTGGCGACATGCGGCTATCGTGAGATCCATGCGTGAGCCATGCGTGGCTACTGCAAACAGAATACCTGGGGAAAGTAACGCGTAAGGTGCGGCCTGGCGATGAGGTTTACATCGCTGCCGGTTCGTCTGTACCGTTTGCATTACGAGAAGGACGGTGAAAAATATATGGTCACACGTTCTGTCTACAGATAATAAGCATTGCATCATTCTCATTAGAACAAGAACAGAATGAATAGGAGTGACGTACGGGCAGCATTGCGAGTGCAGCATTAGGAAGATGCTCCTCCTAAAGCCCCCGAAATACATAGAGTTGAAACCAAAGACTAGTGAACATATGTTGACTGCAACATTTCTTCTTTCTTTGTTTATAGATTGCATGGAAAACCAAATTCAATTAACTAGCCCGATTTAGGTTCTAAGTGAGTTGAGATCAAGACTCTCACCCTAGCCTCTTTCTGCACGATCTAGTCGGTTTAGCTATTATCTACGACACCTCGTAGAATTGATATTCACAACAGCTGCTTTCATGGACAAACGCCCTAGATAGCAAAGCCACGCACCTTGAACAGAGGTACTTTCCTCACCAAGGTCGCTCGGCATCATACTAGATTACCTCGACCCCCTCAAATGACTCGAGGCTGAGCTGTTCGACCCTATGGGGTTAAAGTTCCTAGACTGCGCAACAACTTAACCAAACCTTTCAGCAAAGACAGCTATTGGTTAAGAGGAGATTTTTAGCATTCATCTCGTACATTTTTAGACTTTGTTCAACTATCTATATCAAACCAGCTGGTGGAACTTGCTGCATTCTGCGTTGACAAAGCATATTCCAGCGGAGGTGTGGCCGAACATGCAACGTGCACATGGAGAAGAAGTCAATGGGCACCTCTAAAACGTTATCCATATGAATCTCCTTTAGTCCCTCTTCCTCTTTAGATCTAAGTACTGGCATCACTATTAAGAAAAATGGCCAATCAAGCAACTTGAAGCGCTAGGAGAAAGGAAACCTATTCTCTGGAAAGAGGACACACTATAACAGAAACAATACCCCCGTTCCAACTAAGCTCCGGTGCAACGAGAAATGTGAAGAGTTCTCCTACACTCTTGCGCTAGTTAATCAAAGAACAGGACTCGGGACAATAACAGATCGAAGACAGAGGCTTGTCTATGAGACTCTTCAGCTGTTATCCCTCGATAGTTTAATTCTATATCACAGTTTCCAGGATTTCCTGGACCTGTTCGGCTTTAAGGAGCGGGACCGGATTTGTCGGCGCCCAGAAGTCATCTAATGCTCTCTTCGACAAATCTGGTATCAAATCTCGAGACACTTCCAACTCTGTCAATGTTCGCGGCAGGCCTAGGGCACGAATTATAACGTCCAAGAGATCCCCCAGCTCCGCGGAATCTTCGTTCAGTCCAGCAGCTTTAAGTGTAGCTGCAACCTCAGGCTCAGACCGTAGGATTTGCTTTACCTTCTCTTGTCGACGCGCAATCTCGGGATTCGAGGATCCATGCTTGAGGTTGTACTTCATAACCGCGGGGCACATGATGCAGCTGGTAATCCCGTGTGGTACTCCAAGGGGACCTGGCATGGTTAATCAGCCTTCCAACTATCACGCTTCAGGAAACTGCCTACCGAGTTGATGTCCAATTGCATGGCTTCCACCCATCGGGATTCCTGCGCGTACGTTATCCATAGCGTAATTAACCGCCATTTGGCATCGATGCTTTGCTTCCACGTCTTTTGGTTCAGCCTTACATTTCAGAAGACTTGGCACGAGAAGTTCCAGCCCTTTCTTAGCCTTGTCATCTGAGGTAGCCGTTGCATCCAGAGAGCAGAGCGCTTCCACGCAATGATCTACAGATCGGATACCAGTGGATAACCAGTGATACTCTGGAGTGGTGATGCAGAGCTCCGGGTCGAGGATGATGAGCTTGGAGCCCATTCCTGAGTGCAAGAAGCCTTGTTTGTGGTGCGTGGAATCGTTGGTACCTCCCGCAAGGGAAAAATATTCGCCACCAGAAAGGCTCGTCGGAATCGTGATCAGGGGAACGGTTGGTTGCTTCACGTCTGACGGTATATCGGTGCTTCCCACAGAGTAGCGAGCAAGCTGGTTCGGTTCGCTGATTGCGTTTGCAAGACACTGGACGTATATCAGCACGCTATAGAATGTGGACATAATGGCTTACCAATACGACGAGCTTTGCTCCATCAGTCGTACTTCCAGCCCCTAACGTTACTACGCAGTCTGTTTTCGCTTTGCGGCACTCTGCCGAGATGGAAAGAATCTCAGACCATGGTGTGTGTGGCGTCATCCCCTTCCGCAAGCCCACGACATTGTCCTCTCCGATGGCCTCGACGAGCTTCAACACCTTATCAGTATTCCTAGAGAGCGACCCAGAAGCAATAATATACACTCTCGATGCATGAAATGTTTCCTTGATATGCTTTGCACATGATTCGTAGTACGGCCGACCGTACGAGACCCAAGGCGACGGGAGCTGCAGACCCTTAATCGGTATACCGGCCAGGTTAGTGCCCGGCGGTTCGGTGAATGCGGGCTTGTAAGTCTCTACGGTGTCCATCTTGTGCTACAGAGGATATGTCGATATGTCTAATAGCGTTGAAGAGTGTTTTCAAATTCGCCGGAGCAAACCCGGCTTTTGCAAGCCCCTCGTTGCCCCACTATCGTATCCTTGACGGTATTTCCGCGCCTGATCGTCGGCTCAGTTCTCCTGCGGGGTATAGTCGACAGGATCGTCTTCATGAAGAGTGGGGAACGACACGCGTATTCGAAGGCACGACCCTCTCGCATCTGTCGCATGCCTCGGGAAGATCGACTTAACGTGTGCTTACGCGAGCAGTGCGCCAACTTGGCCCTGCATACTCTCTCTACCCCTCAACTCGTGGTACAGGCCGAGGGCAAGTTGAGACATCGCGAGTGTAAGGCCATCACCAGTTTTAGCAACTTGGACATTCGCACTTCTCCAACACCAACTGCATCCATACTTTCTCCGCCCCGCATTCACGTACCATTCCTATTATGGCTCCCGCTCGAATAATGGAAATATCTGGAGCTCCAGATCCAGGGCTCATTCCCCCATCCGATGCCGTGCATGAGAATAAATGGTACAACCAAGATTTCGACGGCTACCGCGTTTCAGAGCATGTGCTACACGCAAAACGCCATCTCCGCATCGTCTGTGTTGGCGCTGGTGCAGCAGGACTTCAAATAGCATATAAGGCTGAGCGCGCCCTTACCGACATTGACCTCCAAATCTACGAAAAGAATTCTGACATCGGCGGCACATGGCTCGAGAATCGGTACCCTGGCTGTACTTGCGATATTCCGTCACACAGCTATCAATTCACTTGGGCGCGCAATCCGAACTGGAGCCAGTACTATTCGAGTAGCGAGGAAATATGGCAGTATTTCAAAGATGTAGCGACCAAATACGGCTTAGAGAAATATGTTCAACTAAACACAACCGTGCAGAGCGCAGCGTGGGATGAAGAGTCGGGGCAGTGGCAGTTGAGGATCCTAGGTCCGGATGGAAAGGAGGTAGCTGATTGGTGCGACATTCTCATCTCAGGTTCCGGTATACTAAACTCTTGGAAATACCCAAACATACCCGGGTTGGACCTCTTCAAGGGAAAACTAATGCATTCGGCCAAGTGGGACAACTCCTACGACCTCACAGGCAAGATGGTGGCAGTTGTAGGTGGCGGTTCGTCAGCAGTGCAGATTATCCCAGGAATCCAACCTAAGGTAGGAAAACTCTTCGCATTCCTGCGCTCGCCGGTCTGGATTACGACAGGATTTGGAGCCAAGTACGCAGGGCCTGGGGGAACAAACTTCTCTTACTCAGCAGAAGACCTCAAAAGATTCAACGAGAACCCCGAAGAGTATAAAAAGTACGCCCGTGATATTGAAGGCGAGCTCAACAAGCGTTTCAACCTCATGCACATGCATAGCAAGGACCAGAAGAATTCTCGAGAACTCATCGCCAACCTTATGGCAGACAAACTCAACAACGAGGAACTTACAAAGAAAATGGTTCCTGATTTCGCGCTAGGATGCCGGAGAATGACTCCCGGGAGTGGGTATCTCGAGTCACTGAGCAAAGAGAATGTGGAAGTGATTCACGAATCGGCCGTCCGGTTAACAGAAACAGGCATCGTAGACGAGAGTGGCGTAGAGCATGAAGTCGATGTTGTGGTCTGTGCAACAGGGTTTGATACATCGTTTACACCTCACTTCAAAGTTACAGGACGAAATGGAGCTGATATAAAGACGCAGTTCGGGGATTTCCCAATCGGGTATTTGGGAATCATGGCAGAAAACTTCCCCAATTTGTTTCGTAAGTCAACCCCCCGGGAAGCATCCGAATCGGTTCGCCTAACTAATTTATTAGTGTTTATCGGCCCCAATGGCCCAACAAGCCACAGCTCCATCCTACCAATTCTCGAATGGTACACTCGCTACGCATTCCAAATGATCGAAAAGTTCCAAACAGAAAACATCAAATCCTTTGAGCCAAAACGAGGTGCAATCAAAGATCTATACAACCATACGCACGAACTGATGAAACGCCTAGTTTGGTCATCGGGTAAGTCAATCCTTCCAAAAGGGGGAATTCTGTTGATTTATTTTCAAAGCATGTCGCTCCTGGTTCAAGAACGGAAAAACGCATGGTCCTGTAACAGCAATATACCCCGGCAGTCGACTGCATTTCTTCGAGTTGTTAAAGAATGTGCGATGGGAAGACTATGAGTTAACTTATAAGACTGGGAATAGATTCCAGTTCCTGGGAAACGGGTATACAGAGTGTGAGATGAGTGTTGATGGAGATCCGGTTTGGTATTTTGATGATGAGTTTACAAAAATCTAGACGAGCCGGCAAGAAAGCTTAAAGACTACTGTCCACTGTTGGTGGCAATGCGTGAAGAGAGCACCACTATCGAAGTTTAGGGTCCTGTGGTAGAGATGAGATTTTTTTGGTTCGGAAAATCTGTCACGGTGAACTGTTTCATGCTACAAATGGCCCCGCAGCGGGGCACAATTTCCCGAGCGCCACTAGTCTAGCACCTAGCATTTCGAATTAATTTGAATTAAAGAGGCGCCGCTGCTAGCAACAACTTCCCTCCCTATCATGGTTTCGAGGTGGACAGATATAATGCCCCTGGTAATTTCGCCGCGAGCGTACACTCAGACCACAGATCCGATTCTGAACCCGCGCACATCGTCCCCTACTAATTTCCCTTCCACTACTATTAAGTCTTGGTACACCTAGCTTCGTGGAACTATTGCTTTCCGCCTACGTTTCGGTTTCCTTATGGCGTATTTCCACCATTCATCATGGTGGAGAACCCTCATTTCTCCATGGATGCCGGCGCCTTGTATCCTGCTTTCAGCCTTACGGTTGTACATCATATAGAGCACGTACCTAAGATTATATCGAGTAGAACACTACCTTCCCTCCCTTATATCTTTCAAACCCTTTTCTCAAGTGACCCTAATCTCAGACTATATTTTTCCTGCCCGAGTATGCTGTCCTTTCTTCTTCCTTCCATTTTGGCCATTGCGGTTCATGCCTACACAAATCCTATGACATGCAGCGGAACTTGCACTAACGCCCATGATCCATCGCTCATCCGCCGCGATGACGGAACTTACTTTCGTTTCTCTACTGGTGGCAAAATTGCTATCCATAGTGCACCTGCGATAACTGGGCCTTGGACGTACAAAGGTGCCGCGATTCCGAGTGGATCTAGCATCAATAAGGCTGGGAAGGATGACCTCTGGGTAAGAATCCACCGCGGGGAGTGAAGGAAATCGGAGCGTTGGCTGATTACAGCGCCTGGGATGCACAGGCGCCTGATGTCCAAAAAGTAGGAAGCACATACTACCTCTACTACTCCGTGTCATCCTTCGGCTCCCAAGACTCCGCCATCGGTGTCGCAACATCCAGTTCCCTCGACTACGGCTCCTGGACAGACCTCGGCAGCACTGGGATTTCCTCTTCTTCGGGCAAATCCTACAATGCCATCGACGGAAATCTCATCTACACCGGATCAGACTACTATGTGACCTTCGGCTCGTTCTGGGGCGATCTATATCAAGTCAAAATGGCAAATCCGCCAAAGAAGGTTGCAAGTGGATCTACCAGTGTGAATGTTGCATATATTCCTAGTGGATCGCATGCACAAGAGGGCGGGTTTGTGTACAAGAATGGTAATTATTATTACTTGTTCTTTTCGGTAGGGCAATGTTGTGGATACGATAGTAGCAAGCCAGCCGCTGGTGGTGAGTACAAGATTCAGGTCTGCAGGAGTAGTACGGTCACTGGGGGATACGTAAGTGCATTTTGCCCCGCTGGTTGTTTGAGCGCTCGGGCGTGGGCTGACAAATTTGAATATAGGTTGATAAGAGCGGGAATCAGTGCACAGCGGGTGGCGGAACTACGGTTCTAGAGTCGCACGATTGGGTGTATGGACCTGGTGGACAGGGCGTGTTCACTGATCCGTCGCTTGGTCCAGTCCTTTACTATCATTATGGTGAGTGTTGAGATAAATTTGAAAGCAAACATTTGCTAACTCTTGCAGTTGATACGCGCATTGGCTATGCCGACGGCCAGAAGCAGTTCGGAGTTAACAAGCTCAGCTTCTCGAGTGGATGGCCGGTGGTGTAAATGCCATCTTGGGGTTGTTCATTTTTGGATTGTGGGCTCCCTTTGGCCTTTTCCTTCTATTCTTGTAGATATCTACTTACTTGCCTCTTCGATGTGAATATTTAAACTTCTACCATATATCATGCCCTTCTGAACTTATCTATCTTTGAATGATGGCTGCACAAGAATTGCTTAACATACCGCAGCAGGGCAGCACGCTTCAGAATTAATTGATCTTCATGCTCCGACACCAAGCGGAACAATATTAAGCTTGCCCTTCCGAGTACAGCTTCCTTTATTCAGCTACAATGGCTCTCACTACCCCCTCATCACAGATCGTTACCCCCAAAATAACCAACACAAGCAGCAGTGACTGGGTTGAAACTTTCTACCTTGTACACGTCTCCGCCACACAGGGTGGCGTCGCCAGGATATTATAGTGCATAGCTTCTAGGGCTGATCTTAATTTGCGAGACTCTAGTGCCCGTAATATGAATACCACTATAGACTTCGGCCGGTACCATGCGAGAATTACAACTCTCTACTACATGTCCTCAGGTCGACCTTGTCGCATTTCTGGTACAGAAACCCTCCTTCCCGGTGCATCAACAGCTCCTACTACCTTCACTATATCCCCATAGCCATTGCCATGGCCCCCACTGCCCCTGCTATCATAGATGTAAATAAATACTCTGCAACAGAGCACTTAGACTTAGACCAATACACTTCACTTCATCAGCTTTCTACATGGCTGCATGCTTACACCACCTCTCCATTTACAACAGACCTTCTATAATGCTGGAGCGATGAGTTCAGAAGTCGCCAGACGCTCCAGCGTCGACTTGTGGGTAATATTAATGCCTACTGAGTCGAGGCTATGGTTAGAGATAGTAGGAAGCCAGATGAAGTATGACACGGAATAATTTCGAGCTCGAATACTACCCTTTGCTCAGAATACTAGCAAAAATATCTCCTGGCAGTTTAGACGGAAACTAGAATACTATATTTACGGTCCAAATTGCTTTATTAGAATTTCGACCGTTCCAGCATCAACGGCCAAAGAAATTAAAACAAAGATGCTGAATTGCACCTTGAACCTTCGGTGGCTCCGAATACAGATTGGCCGAGACGATATTCACAGGCTGCTATATGATAGAAACTCCATAATTTACGAGAGAAAAAATTAATACATTTTAGCAGCAGCGCTCACGTACTATACTTCATTTGCAGAGGTTCAGGTCAGATGCGCAGGGCTAGAGTGCGATACAAGGCTCATAAGAGCTGTGCCAAACACGCATAAACTCACCGGGGGTACGTTGTAGATCCTCACTACCTTTTTTCATTAAGTGGTCCTTCTCGTCCCCAGCTAGCGTGACTGGTACTCAATTCTACCCCCTCGAAGAATATAATCCATGTGGAGACGTTAACAGCACACTAATCACCTAGGACATCCTCGATATCTGAAAGGAACAGTTCGAGCTCAGGCTTCACAATTTTTCAACGCGCTCTAGATTTCCATGGTAGTAGATTGTATTATTTCAGTTGGTCGTTGGTCGAATCTTACAATATATGTGGATCAGCTCAGAAATAAGACAGCCCAAACCAAGGAGCGTGAGGGAGGGATACAAAGGTGGAACATTCTTTTAGTCTCAGCACTTCCCGGTTGGTGGTCCTAGCCCCCGCAGAAATCTCCATTTTTGCCGTGAGTCTAGTAGGGAGAGTGGTAAGCATGGACTCGAAGGGCCGAGACTGGACATGAATGCAAGCACGATGACCCGATTTAATCCTTACGCTAATGAGCACTTTGTAGGCGTCCCAAGATGTCAGATCCCCATCGAGGCTGATTGATGGAAACCACTGTTATACAGCCAGGTGATATAGAATTGGGAAGGAAATTGGGAGAGTTTCAATCGGGGCTCAATTCGGAAGATTTCTAGGTTGATAGGCTTAGGAACAAGAGTGAATGGAGGAGCCATATACTGCAGCAGTCAGATACGCATATAGATTTTTTGGTAATCTCGAATTCAGCTTCGCACTTCGCGAGAAGGTTAGAAGCATAATAGAGGCATAATGATAGTTGCTAGCAAGTGTTCAGTATACAAGGAGATCGATGAAGAAATGCGGATAAAACTGGAACCATCAGGGACGAGAAGGATGCCATTCAGAAGTGGATCCGTTGGGATTTCGCAGCCTCCCTGTATGGATTCAAAGTGGCAGAAATCACTTCCCCAACTTCATACTCGGGAACTGGCCCGTTTAGGCAAGGCTTCCGCTGCAAAACCATCCGGGCCGTCGTCTGCTCTGCAACACAACACTTCTCCATCGCTTCTTCAGAGCACTTTATGCTTGTGTTCCTCCCCCACCTTCATCTCTCTTTCTATCATACGATTTAATTATTTCCCCGCTTGGCATGCCGTACCCTCGGTGAAATGTATGGCGCAATACCGTCGGTTAACTTCCCAATTCCCTTTATTCACACCGTCTACGTTGACCTAGCCGGTCTTCCGGAATATGTTCCGCTCTCGCTTCCGATAGCTACCGTAACATAAAATCCAGGGACAGGAGTGCCGTTGACCTGTCACTGTGCAACCGTCTGCATTCGCAATTAACAACGCAAGGCTGACTCCTATTCAGGCTAAGCACGAAGTGTACTAAACGACCCCGGATTAAATCCTCTATAGCTGCCACTGCAAGTACCGGTATAAAATTCCCAATGCGAGGCTCATTCAGAACCTCCGAATCACACACTCGGATTAATTCCAAAGCGGGCCAGCGTGTTACCTCCGGACTGTGCAGCTGTGTATTCTGATTTGTTACCGTCCTCGTAGAACAAATTGCTTTTCAATTCTTCTTCATTTCGATATCTGCGCACTAAAGATTTGAGCTCATCATGAGGTCACACTTTTCCCACAGCTTGGGTTAGCGAGAACACTTCGTGAACATGGAGATTGGAAGGATGCAGGAGTAAAAATATGGGAGTAATTCTGACTAAGATTCACGAATCTCTATTTCTCAGAATTGGAGCGTATAAAGCACCCAGGGGACTCTCTGTGTTGTCCAAACACCAAACTTGAATACTATCTCCTTCCCGCCAAAGGACTTTAGCGCCACCTTTGCAAGCGCATATATCTCATTTGGACAACATGTATACCGCATATTTCCTCCCACTCCTAGCAACTCTTGGTGCCACACTTCCAACGGCTGAAGACTATTCTCTCGATATTGCCAAAGCAATCGTTGCACGTGCACCCCCAGAAGCCAAGGCCGTCTTGAAATCCACCACATCCACCGGAACGGGCTGCGGTCCCAACTCAGCTGCTTTCCTAATCAACGACAATGCTACAGTTGCTTTTGATGCGATGGTTGTAGAATCTACCAGCAAGGATTTGAGCAAGAAGTGCCTCATAACCATCGATTTGCAATTGGATCCGAAGTGGAAGTACACTATCAACAAGGCAAGTGATATCCGCGGATACATTGACCACGGAAATGCCAAGATCAAAGTTTTGTATACTGTTGGAGGCGATTCAGTAAGTTGTTTCCTCCCATCTTTCTCTTTCAAAATATATACAGGTTTGCTAGGGCTAACGGCGATGAAGTCGGAAGTAAATGGAGACATCAACGCAGCGACAAAACAGGACTATTCGTATGTGTTTCACTCGACCAGTCCCGGAGCGACTTCAGCGCCCGGCGGTGGTGTCGCAACGATCGACGTTCAAGTCAGATTACTTCCAGAAGCTGGTACGGCATCTGCTGTGACTGTGGATAGCATTGATATTGGATTCAACTACGCCAAAGCATAAACGTCATCTGATTAATTGAGCTAGGTTAAGGTCCGAAGTAGTTAGGATCGATAGAGATGCTACTGGGTATTACTGACTGGACAGATATGATAGACTCAGACAAAATAAACCCATAACGCTGCTCATCACCTCAAGTCTCGTTTCTCGCTATCACTACACTGCTCACGCGTTATTTGCCTTCTTCGGTCATCCCAGTATGTCTTACTATGTGACTTTGAAGGACGCCGCTCACTAAAGTTCCCCTTGCTCGTCAGCCTTGACCTTGACCCTCTTCTCTGCTACCGTCTTGATTCTAATGCTGTTTCCAACCTGAGACCTTCCGACATAGTCGACCAAGAACTTGGTATCCGGTTCGGCGTTTTGGGAGCGTTTGTGATAGTTGTCAAGGTTGACGAGCTCATCTGTTTCTCATTAGCAAGTCGCTCCTCGCTAACCAGTATGCATAAAATATGCTACACTTACCCTCGCAAGCGTCTTTCCCGACTTCGACATCCTTTCCTGCAAAGAGCGGGAGCAACCAAGTAACCACACCAGGCGCAAAGAACGCTACTCCATCGACATTTGCAATATATTTTCTCTCCTCTGTTCCCTTGATCATTTGATCATCCCTCCACGCTTTCACCTTCTCCGGCAACTCTTCGTAGTCCACTTTGATCACTCTGAACCCATCTGGGTGCATGAATCGATCAAAGTCTCCTGGGTATGGCATATCTCCCCCACTATCAGTGCGCCAGAACTTGTCGAGACGGTCAATTGCCCATGCGACTTCTGTTGGAGGCTTCATGATGTCGACGGCGAAGATCTCGGCGTCGAAGTAAGCGCTCACATGGCATTTCGTCTCGTAGTTATTCCATGAGCTGTCACCACCCTGCTGTGCGCGTTCAAGCTTCGCATTCAGATCGTTGATGAGTGTCTGATCTCCGGATTTACGCGCGATCTCGAGTTGGCTCATCAATCTGGTGATGTGAGTGTTTCCATATTCGATCTCGAATTTTTGGGCAACTGTGGAAGCTGCGAGGAACGCGAGGGAAGCTGAAATGAGACGCATTTCGTGGTCCTGCGTTAATAATGCTGACAATGGCTTGTCGAGAGCGTGATGTGGGGTTAAATAAGGCTGGTTCAGCGAATCCTCCGCATCCTTCATTGTTAACCGTGTATTGGTGGCTTGTCATGGAGCCAATGAAATTTGGAGCCAGCGCAGGGGTTAGCACAGCTTTTTGTTGCTCAGCCTCTTCAGAATCGTATCGTCCTCATGCGCTACTCCTCAAAATAAGTTGCTTGTCTTCTTTATTGCACAGTACGTCTCGAGGCTCTTCCTTTCGCGTCAGCCACTCTCTCGCCGGACCTTCGAATCCTAAGAAAATGACATTTAGAGCTGAATCCTTCGCAACACGTCTGCAGCTTCAAAATCCTTCCCCGGTTACTCTTTTTGAATCTTAATGCATGATTTTAATGCCCATAATTTTGATATAGAGATCATCTCAGGGTGAATATGGCCCATGCTATCAACACCATGATAACAAATAGCTCACCAACAAAACACAGTAGACTTCTTTCCAGCTGGCCTCAGAAATAGAGATCTATTTCCAAAGTCAGTCTAAGTGTCCGCGGGGATCCCGTGGCCCCGAGTCCAAGCGTTCCACAAAAGTCTACATCAGCAAGCCCTTTTCCCTTTTGAGGTACCTAGTGAGCATACCTCGACCGCTATATTTGTTTTTTCACGTACCAATGAACGACTTTCGCTTCGGACATACCGAGGAGTATCTGAGCAACATGCGATGGCACGAAAAGAGATGCCTCCTGAGAAAGAGCAGTTGCGACTTGCGAGTTTCGTCGATGGGTGAGTAAGGCGTGGCTGCGTGAAACTTTTATTCACCGAACTAAAATAGCGAATCCCGGCCCTTTTGGTTTGTACTCCTCGGATAAGCAGCCCTTCAGAGACAATTCCTCCACTGCTTCTTAAATCCCATCTATCCTATTTCAATCCCGCTCCATGAATCCTTGATTGAAATTTTTATTTAGCAAACATGCCATCCTCCAATCCCAAAAATTTGAAGGCATATATAGGATATCAGGTCACCATTACTGCAGCCATCTTCGTCGTTGCCGCCTCACTAGCGCTCTACCTTCGTTTTGTTGCTCGCCGCATCCAGAAAGTTAGGTGGGGTTGGGATGATGGACTAATATTGTCAGCTGCTCTTTTCTTATATAGTCTAATTGCATGTTGCCTAGGTATGTCACTCCAACTTTCCCCCCCTTTACTGTGAGTCGAAATGATGGCTTCCGCTAAATTAACGCAGTTGATGTCTACGGCGGCGGCGTTGGGTACCACCGCAGTGTTGTCGAGCAAAGCGCTTCCAAGATTCGTGTTCTAGCCAAAATGGCCATCGTACTGCCCATATTTTACCTCCCCGCCGCAGCACTACCAAAGCTTAGCATCATATGTCTATACCTCCGCATCTTTCATAAGCAGACGAATCCGATTCAACGAAAAATTTGCTGGATCACCGCGATACTGGTAGTTGCGAATTGTATTGGGAGTATGATCCCTGCATTCGTCGCTTGCAGGCCCCTAAGCTACCTCTGGATGGAAAGAAAGCCAGGAGATCCGACGCACTGCATTGACTTCAACGCTTGGTATCGCTGGGGTTCAATCATGAACGTCATCACCGATATTGTTATGATATTTCTCCCCATACCTGTTATTTGGAAGCTCTCGAGTTCCCGCAGTGTAAAGATCAGCCTGTCGATTACATTTGCTCTGGGGTCATTGTGAGTATTCTTCGCTAGGAAAAGTAACCTCATCACTAAGAAGAGCAATAGAGGAGTTGTAACATCAATCATTCGGTTCGTCGGCTTCTTCAAAACAGATTCACATTCGGACGGGACGTGGAATGCAACGAACTTTCTTATCCTTACTACCGTAGAATGCGGCATGTACTTTATTTCGGCATGCTTACTTGCTATGAAGCCGATCTTAATTCGGTTATCGGAGAAATTTGACTTCTTTTCATCACGCTCGAGGCCCATCGGCGATGCAGGGCCATGGCCCCGCGATTTACAGCAAGGAAACAAGTATCAGATTCGAAAGATTCCATGGGGAAAGGTGCAGCGGAAATCGGAAGCAGAGATTGAGGAAAATGTACTGGGACTCGTTGCCCCCGATGGAGCACCTCGAAGGGACATGGAGGGTAGTTTATGCTAGGTGCATTGACCTTCAGGTTTTCTGAACTGGTTAAGTTTATTTGAGTAAGCGTATAAATTAGATAGCTTCATGAAATCGTTATATTTCAAGGTCGATCTCTGGCATAGCCCCGCTTTCAATACCAAGATGTTGCCTAACACCGCAGCGAGTGACTTCAATCAGGAAGGCAGCACTGGACAGTCTTCAATTTTACCCAATGTTAAGACTTTGTGAAGGAGAAGTCAATTTACTATTATCCCATGATCTAGAGATCCCTAGACATGTACCATGTAGACCATCTCCTGTGCACTAAGTCCTGGCTATCCTTCTGTTTTGTTGACTGTGTTTATATTCCCAGGATCCAATGTATGCACCGTGTAATAGCCCATTCAATCACCCACGTCAGAGGCCGTATTCGAAATCATTGGTCGGGTAAATTCATTCTTGTTGTGAGGTGATGTGAGACAGGCTGCAACCGGGGACGCATGCTGCACCTAGCACTGGTTGTAGTCACAATGGTCCTTACACTTTACACCAAAATCGTTAGCTAATCGAGAACTTCAGCGATCAAAAAGGGTTTAACTTTCGTCGAGGTGGTGACAGGTCTTGACGTCGCAGGCAGTGAAGCAGCCCGGCCACCAGCCACAGTCCTTAAACATTGAATCAGTGGATGAGATACAGAAAAAATCTGGAAATAACCGTACCTCTTGACACTTTCCATGGAACCTATCGCATTCATCGCAGATCTTGTCGCGCTTGAGGTTAGTGACTGGTGGAGCGGCGGCCACAAAGGCGGCGAGGGCGGTGGTGATAAATAGAGTGAGCTTCATGGTGGCTGATGAAGTAATGGGTTGCTGTTTGAGCATATAGTTGGTAAATAAGTGCTGAGTTGAAGTTGGTTTAGTATGGAGGGTTGGGTGGAGAGAGAGATGGGGAGTGCCCTCAAAGAGATGAGCTTGAGGTAAACGTGAAGTGAATAGACAAAGCTTGAGCGGTGTGGAATTCACCGTTCAGTGTTCAAAGCATGGACTACAGGCAGAACCCCGGGAGGCGGTCAAGGGTAATCTCAGTCAGTGCCACAACCTTGACGTCATGTGAATGTGGTTGTTCACACACAGTATTCTCTGTAGTAATCTGTCTAATTACAGTTCAAGCAAGGGACAAATCTACTCAATGCTGTTAACCCCCTTGAGCAACGCTGGCTGTTTCCCCTTCTACGGGTCAGAAGCCCCGACAGAGTGAATTCGAAATCCAAGGTTATTCATTCTGTCCTCGAGGTGGTTGGGTTGGTAGCTCGAGATGAGAAGCAAATGTGACGATCCATACGCTCTTTGAGCGTTGGCCCATATACGCACCCATCATTAAGCTCCTACCTACCTCTTCAAATTGAGGGGCATTTAGCGCTGTGACTAGGGTGCGGGGAATGACTAGGATACAGTAAATGGCTTTGTATAGATTGGGAGAGTGACAATTAGCTCACGGGTGGTGAGTAGTGGTGCGGAAGAAGCTTGGAAAGTGTGATAACGACGGTGAAGATTCAAGCAGGGTCAAGTGACCTCCGAAGCACTTAGACTCGAGTCACAAGCAAGATTCAGACAATGCTGTTCATAATGGGCCCTTATACTAATTAATCAACATTTCCTATGCCATAAATACAAGGTCCTTGCCTACACACTATAAATGTATCGTTCGCCAGGCGATAAGAACTTGCATGGAGTCGCTAGGCGCAATCGCAGGCAGCGGGATCGGCGCACCAAGCTGGCAACGATTATACGTGCACTTTCTGTCGAGTTTCACCCAGAAAATGTGAGACTCTGAGATATCCTGATTAGAAAGGCGGAATGGTGACCTATGTCCTGGGAATGGCAGCTGTAAACCTCACAAGAATTGCAGCATTGGGGTAGGTTACCACACCGGTGTCACTCTTGTAAGCCCGTGATTACAAGGTTACGATAGATTTAGTTTAAATACATACGATTCTGCAAGCAAGATAGTTGCGGCCACCTTTGTCGCACGGGCCTAGTTTCTCAGTCTTGCTGGCTAGGGCGGTTGCTGCCAATGCAGCGAGAATTAAAACACCAGGAGAAGAAAGAGCTTCATTTTGGTTGTTGAAGGTTCTCCTCGAGGAACTTGGATCTTGTTTTAGGTTCCTGTATGGGCAAGCGGAGAGGGTACAAGCAGAACAGAACTATACCGAGTGATTATGGGGACCAATGAGAGGTCCTATGGGTTACGTGGATACCTGAGGTGGGAAGGGAGGTGGTATCGGGATGAGAGAATCAGGTGCAAGACATTGATATCGAACGGGTGGCTTAAATTGACAGTTTGGTCCTAGGATGTCCCTTCTAAGTGGTATATGGACGAAAGCTTGAACTAAAACGCGACACACCATATCAAGTCATATATCATGTAAGAGCGATGAATGCGATTCTTCAATTATGACCAACTATTTTCGACGAGGTTTCAGACCAGCAGAGTAGGAGAAGCAACAGGAGGGTATTTTTGCTAGACGGTCGATTACCGGCGAGTACATGTTCAAGTACGCGCCTCCCTGACTACCTAGTTAATTAGACCCCAACAACCAGGCTTTCTTTGAGTGGTTATTTCCGACCAAATACGGTTAGCTATTCTCATATATCTACTTTGTTGAAAATTGATATGATACGGTCTTGATTTCTTGAAAAAAAAAAATTTAAAAAAAAATAAAAAAAATTTGCCTATTGTTTCTACTGTAATTTCACATGTTTCGAAGATTCTAAGGTGAGATTTAACTTCCTATGAGAAAAGATGGACACGGTACATTTGATCTCAAGAATTTCACCTCTTTGGGTGGAGCCATCCGCCTCTACTACGCCGAGTTGCGCTGGAATCCGGATAACTGCCTCCTGTCGAGTCCCGGACTTGAAACTTCTCACTCCGCTTCAATGAGAAAGACTCTCGAAGGTCCGCTGCAAATCAGTACTTGATTGCATACATCGGCATATGAATCTGGGGGCGCGGGCCAGGAAAAATATTGACTAGCATTAAGACTAACAGCTTCACTTTAGTCTACAGTCCACGGCATGACTTTCGTCCTGTATCAATCCCGTGTTGCTCTTTCCATTGCCTACTCAAACCGAATAACATATGGGCAGGCCGACTCACTCCAACCTTTGAAATTATCGTGTCGGATATTCGTCCCAGTCTTCAAAGCATTCCACATATCATAACCACTGTTCATCATCAAACCGACATGGTGGATACCCTCTGGATTGTTGGCACAGTCGCACTTACCACCAAAGAAGACGGCATCTCCAGCGCGGCGATTGGCCCACGCGATTTTCCTACGTTGGAATTAGCATCGATCAAACAAGCAGTGTGACAGGTGGAAGAACTTACTTGTACTTCAGCTTGCTCTCTTTAGCGCAATACATGCTCCTCGTGACCCTCAGGCCCTCTGAGAATAAGTCACGACCAGTGACTTGGCACACAGCCCATGAGACGAGCCCGGAGCAATCGAAGCCCCCGCCGGTTGGACCTTTGCAATTTCCACCAGCCCAGTGATCTGTAGCGATGGTTAGCGAATCTAAGCTGTAGGAAGGCGGTATGTGAGAGAATATAGCTTACAGGGTACTCCCTCCTGAGTCTTGGCCTTTGCCAAAATCTTCTCTCCCAAGTTCGACCCACTACTGGGAGGTGGTGTCGATGCTTCACCGACGCAGCACTGGAACGCATCCGGGCCGGGACAAAGGTTCTGAATAAGACTTTGCTTAGCTCCGGTGCAGTCTTGCTTCCAGCGACAGTCGCCGCTCTGGTTGCCACTGCTGCATTTCGGCTTGGTACAGCACTTGATGTCCTCCGGAGTGCCGGGACAAGCGTTGGAGATGAAGGTTCCTCCACTTTTGGTGCAAGACGAGGTAGCAACGCAGACACCTGGGGCTCCGCCTGAACCAGTGCAAGCACCGTTGACAGATGAGCGCGGGAAAGCGACAGTTGCTTCGACTGCAGCGGCGGCGAAGAGCAGGGAAGTGACGAGTTGAAAGTGCATCTTAAATACTGGAGGTATTGTAATACAATTAGACAGACAATTCACTGAGTTCCTCGAAGGATTGACTGGGGTAAGAAAGGATTGCTCGGATGATGAGTGAAAGAATCCATTTCCATAAACTTCGCGACCTCATATATAATTGACCAAAACGAGACGAAAGTAAGGAGGCAACTTGCAGATACCTGCACAGCTGAGAATCTCTCTGAAACCCGATGTCCGCCCCACAGGTCGTATTCTCATATGCTGCAACCTTGCAAAAAAACACCTCATACATATCAGTAGGACAATGATATGCGGGCGAAGACATTGACATCAGAGGCGTAGAATCGTACTTCGCATTCTCAGCTACTTTTGCGATTTTCTGTCGGCGATGATGGCGAAGGGAGGTGAGGAGAGGAAGTGTGCCACATACCAATCACCGAATACGAAATTTCGGGAATGCCAAGCTGTCGCACAAAACACCTCGAACGCTGCAAGCCACATTTTGACCAATAGAAATTGTTTTGTTTCTCAGATGTGGCGCGAAACTTATTTGTTCCTGCGTTTGAGCCCTCCAGAATCTCCAGATGAAGTGGCTTAATCTTAATTACGACATCCGCGATCGACGGGACAAAATTAGAACATCTTGTTGGTACATGGTGATACTGTCAGATGATCACGTATAGAGCGGAATACCATCACGAACGACGAGCTCTTTGGGGCACGTTTCTAGCATGCTCTTCGCCTTCGGGTACTTGTGCCGGACAACTTAGAGTCTTCTATTTGAGTGTCAAGGGGAATTCGGGTAGGTCTTACAAGTCGGTGACTGCACATGGAAAGTTCAAAGCTCAACTCCATAAATAGTTGTGATTGGCCTGTATTTGGCCAGTCGTCCTTCGAAATACAAGTCGGGAGGTCTTCTATCAATTCATTCGAGTTGACACCGAAGAAGAATGAGAGTGAGTACAGATCCACCGTGCCTTTGTTCACCACCCAACGAACGTTGGACAGAAGGGTATCATTGGTCATGTGCATGAACATGTCGGCCAGATTGACATCGAACATCTCAACCCACGTTCAATGTTGGTATATACATCCAAACCAGTTAATAGTACAACACGAACAGCTGCTATCGGCGCTGTCACCTTCTTGTCTAAGTATACTTCGGGAAGCTCGAGAGCGAGTGCGAATATACGAAAGAACTTTCGCGTAAACTTAATCAAGGCCTGTTGGTAGGGGAGAACTCTGGACTTGAAACCGGCAGTACTGATTCTGCTAGCCCGACACTAGATTAAATCAAGATTTCAGGCATGTCTAGCTGGCGCTTCGGGGTCGTTCTCGGGCTTATACCCCAAGAAAATGCGTCCTTGAAATCTGTAGTCAACAGTTATTTTGGAGTAGATATACACATCAGTGTCAATACTCGCCTCCCAGTTTAAACATATTATCATTCGTCTCGTACAGAGGCTCATATCCATGAAAGCGAGCGGTTTTTGGTTGATAGACCTGGAATTTAGTCTCCACTGGAACACCAAAAAAGCATTCATTGCAGTAAAGGTTGTCTTGATAATGTCTCAATTAACCCACGGTTCTTGATTTGCATGACGCCTACGTCTGTTCATGCTGCTCGTGCTTCCTTTGCAAGAGCAATTCCATCATCAAGTGACGACTGTACACACGAGACACGCCGACAGTAGGAATATCTGCGAATCCGCCTCCCCAGCTGGCTGCCCTCTTTCTAGATATAACTTTCTGGAGGTGAAGCTCGTCAAGTGCCTCAGCTGTTGGGGCTATCGCCATGATCGGGATTGTTGATCAAGAGGATATCGTAGTTGATAGTGAGGCGGCAAGTAAAAAGCGTGCTTGGATATAGTCTCGGGCGAGCTGATTTGAGATTGCGGACATGTGGGTCGAAATGCTTATCCATGTTCAGTCATCGTTCCGGTGGCCTATCTAGGCCAGGATAGCACAACGGCGATCTGAACTTAAGCAATGTGAAGAGGTCCAGTACGGCCATCAAAGAGTTTGGAGCGCTTATCTCCGCCATCATAGTTTCAATACTGAACTAGCAACTACTCTGTGTGGTCGCACCACCTTAAGAGCTACTTACGTGGGGAAATGGCCAGATCAAGACAAGAGAAGACACGAAAATAAATGGAAGCTTTCTACTTAGATATAGGGAAGTTCTTACGTATAGACCGGGGCGGCGGCAGCAGGATTATATGTGGCCTTAAACGGACTAGGGAAGTTTCTTGTCACCATTCACCAATTTCCTAGTGCTAATGTCTGTGTTAGGATCTGGAGGCGGGAAACCAACCTCGCAAGCCGTAGCAGCGCAGACAAACAAGATAGAGGATGCCCGTTTGGGTAGCGGCATCTCCCTTTGGCAGTGTAATATTTAAATGACTGGGGAATCAAACAGACGATCGGTATTAGTGCTACTGGTTTCCTCTATCCTTAGCGGGCTTCTGGGTTTACGATCGAGCCGGACAAATATAGACCCCTCAGTGCTTAGAGGGCTAAGTGGTTTGACGGCGGCGCATTGTAATTTTGTGCAGAACTGGAGCTGCGATGTGATATCCAGAAGAGCAATTGAAGGGGTTGTACGGGTTTACAACTAGGCAATCATTAAGACTAGTGTGGCCATTGTATTTCTAATTGCCCTGAGAATTAATGTTCCCTGGACATTAGCGAGCGTTGCGTGGGAGCTGTACCTTGTTTCGTCTTGACTATGCCCGCGACTGTTTTTGCTGCATTCTTCGTCGCAGAAACGAGCACAATCCATCAGTGTGATCAGATTGCGTTGGCGGATTTCGAGCCGCAGTCCTTCCAAGAAAGCATTAAGGAAATGTGGTGGGCTATTAGGTCCCAACGAATACTTCTAATAGCCCTGCCATTGTTCGTTGTTAAAACGCCGCTAGTATTGGACAGCTCGGTGAATTCGAACAGCTTCACGCTCCGAACCGGAATCCTTCACGGTCTCTTACTGATACTGGGTTGTACCGGTCCTTTTTATCTCAATGCTCTAGTATTTGGCCGAAAACAAACGGTGGAATCTCCTACACTGTATTCCATCAAAAGTCTGGGATATTTGACTCCCTGTTCTTTCAGCTCCATCTATAGTTCATCGATGCTCTGTCCAACGGCCTTAGACTCTCGCCTGCAGGCATTACAGTCGCATTACACCAAGATGACATATTAGAAGGAGTTTACAGTCAAGTTCGTTCTCTTCGTCTCTTCATTTGGCTGTCTGCACTACCTCTAGGCGGCTGATTTGTGGAGAACACAATGCAGTTAAAGGAGAAGCCACCATGCCAGTCCAAATTGAGAATAAATTAGGTGAGGAGGAAGAAGTTAATTCAACGACGGGACAAACGCATTAGATAACAATGAGTGGCGGGGAGTAGCCTAAGGAATTCCCAGGACTGGAGAAATTTTGTGCTGGCGTCGAGGCAGATAGTTAGATTCCACGCTAGTATCAATTCAGTTAAAGCGCACGTGATAGCGCGGTTTAGGTAGCTGGCCCGTGTGCTTCCTGGACTCCAAGTCTCACCCCTTGTCCCTTCACACCAAACATATCCCATGGACCAGCACCCTCAATGGATGTACTTCTGGAAGGACTCAATGCGGCTCAGAAAAGTGCGGTAACTAGTCCTGCGTCTGTTGTGCAGGTTCTTGCTCCCCCAGGGTCTGGGAAAACCAAAACATTAACAGCGCGCGTCGCGTACCTCATTAATCATGAACGCCTTCAGCCATGGAACATTATCGTTTGCACATTCACGATCAAAGCGGCGCGTGAGATGAAAGAGAGGATTCGAGGCATGGTTGGAGATGGCATTGAAGCGAAATTGATCCTGGGAACATTCCATTCCGTGGCCCGACGCTTTCTTGTCCGGTACGGCCAAGAGATTGGAGTTGAGAAGAATTTTGGAATCGCCGACACATCCGACAGTCAGGCCATCATAAAACGCATTGTTTCGCGGCATCAATATACCGTGGAACCTTCCCATGCCAAATCCCGGATCTCGAAGTTGAAGTCGAAAGGAACCACGGCAGACCAGTTTGCGGCGACTACCAAGAAAGCGGAAGAACATGAATTTGCCTGCGTGTACACAGAGTACCAGGAAACTCTCAAAGCGTCAAATCTCTTAGATTATGACGATCTCCTGTTACGCTGCACGGATCTTCTCAACAAACACCCAGCTTGTGTCTCGAGCATTCAGGCTGTCCTAATCGACGAATATCAGGACACAAATAACGTCCAATATGAGTTGATGACTTTGATGGCTCAACGAATGAAACGCATTACCATTGTTGGAGATCCCGATCAGAGCATCTACAGTTTTCGTTCTGCAGAAATAAAAAACCTCCATCGCATGAGGAAAGACTATCCGGAATCCATTGTCATAAATTTGGAAATGAACTACCGCTCCTCCGGCTCTATCTTGAGTTCAGCTATGGCTATCATCGAACAAGACGAAAGCAGACCGGATAAGGCATTGCTGGCCACTCATTGCGTTGGCGAGCAGCCAACTCTCCGCCACCTCGCCACAGCACATGTGGAAGCACAGTGGATTGTTGAGGAGATCAGTCGATCGAAGACTTTGACAGCTGGCCTCCTGAACTTCAATGACTACGCCATTCTTCTTCGCTCTGCAGCGCTATCACTTTCTATTGAGAGAGCACTTGGCAAAGCTGGCGTTCCGTATCGAATGGTTGGAGGTCGGCGATTCTTCGACCGCGCAGAGATTAAGATCATGCTCGACTATTTGCGCATAATCAACCAGCCAGATCACAACGACGCGCTTACGAGGGTCATCAATATTCCTTCGCGAAAGATCGGCGATGTGACGGTGAAGGCGTTGCTTGAGGAAGCCGAGACGAGAAAGATCACTCTTTGGAATCTCATTCTCAATTGCGCTCAAGGTAGGAGCAGGCCTCATACCAAAATTTCGACGCAAGCACAGAAAGGTATCGATTCGTTCGTGAATCTTATTCTCACATCGCGTCGGAAGCTTCTCCCTGACGACGGCGAGGAGTGTTACCTTGTTGATCTAATATTCCACGTGCTTCAGAAGATATCATTCCAGGCGTACCTCAAGAGCACTCACAAAGATAATTGGGAAGAGCGCTGGGCGAACGTCGAGGAACTTGTAGCCCAGGCAACTCAGATGGCTTCTACCGCCGGGAATGAAGAGAATGCGGAGGACGCACTCCCAGTCGTCGAGGGTGTCGAACAAAGGAAAGACACTGCTGCAGACATCCTATCGAAATTCCTTGCCAATGTCGCCTTATCAACTGAGGTAGAGAGGCCAGACGGAGAACAACCCGACCAAGTTACCATCTCCACAATACATGCTGCCAAAGGTCTTGAGTGGCCGGTTGTATTCATCCCCGCAGTATACGACGGGTCAATACCTCACTCAAGAGCTGAGGACCACGACGAAGAACGACGGTTACTGTACGTTGGCATGACACGAGCACAGGGCTTGCTATATCTGAGCTGTCCCGTCAAGCAATCCGCTCAGGAGGAAACTACTTTATCCAAGTTTGTATCTTCGCGAAGCATCCAGAAGTTTTTCAGCTTTCGCGGCCCATCATTTGGATCTTCTGTCATCCAGGACCTCTCCCGAATTCTCCGGCGACCTTGCCCCCGGACCTCCGATGTTGAAACAGCACGTGATTCCGTTGCGTGCATGGAAGATGACCAATATCCGCTCAATCGAGAGGAGATAGATGGCGAGGAAGCATCATGGGGGGCACCAGCCTCACACAACGAAGGGACAATCCCTTCATTCAAACGCCGGAGACTAGAGACTCCAAAGGGCCTTGGTGGTGCAAAGGCTCCAGCGACAATAACGAACGCTGGCAGCTATTCCATATCGAGCACAACAATGCAGAACGAGAAGAGTGGGTTCACGACTGCCAGCACTCATCACAAAGTGCTCCAGGAGGCCGAATCCATCCGTATGCTCGTCGCTGCTCAGGAAGCGAGCTCCAGAAAGATTGTAGGGAGGAGAATGGAGATGAACTCGGCACGGACTAAATCCGTAAAGCCCCGGCCAGCAGGACAGGGAAGCATCACAAGTTTTTTTGCGAGATCAGGGAGCACTATCTCGGAGGAATCGAATTTTCTACTGGCTTCTACAAAGGTTCCGTCGTTACCTTGCTCTCAATCTACCCTCTCGCAACCAGCTCTTCCCCTAAGTGACATCTCCAACGTTCGGAAACTGTCCGATCCAACTCCTCGACCCTACAAAGCCCCATCTTTTTCAACTCACAGACCACGAAGTACGCCGATGAGTAACAAACCCAAGAAACTCGACCCTGAACCCGAAATCGGAGGAATTAGATATGTCCTATTGTCAAGTTCGCCCGTCAAACTAGACGATGACCAAGATCTTGAATCACAGGGATTCTCAGTTAATGAGGAAGGCGTGAACGGAGAAGGAATCCCGACGAAAGTCTCCAATGGGATTGCTCCTTTGACGTTCTCTGGCTTCCGCTCTGCTTCCACGTTCCATACCACATCGATGGGACAGTTACAAGGTCAATCTGCTGGGCAGAGAAAGACGTTGGGAATGCGAAGGAGCGTCCAAGGATGGAGCGTGAAGCATCACCAACCGCCCCGACCTCGGCCGTCGCGACAGGCTGAAGGACCTTAGCTGCTTAGACTTCTCGGAGTGCTTTGCGTTGCACGGCGTTGATATGCCATTGATTCGAGCTTGGGCTCTTTAGCGTTGCACATTAAATATTATCGAAGTGGTTAGGCCATACGCAGACCAAACATAGGTCCGTATCTCTACAGGCCAACGAAGTGTCATGCATTTTCACCTGGATATGATGGTATTGGACCAGAGTGGATGCTTGGCCTTTCCCTCTTCCAAAAACCACACAATACATATTTTAACACTAAAAAAACCCTCTCTTCGGTCTCTCACCATCTACTAAGCAAGGATAAAAGGAGAACATAACCCAAAAAAAATACGAGAGGGGAGGATCGAACTCCCGACCTTCTGCGCAGTACATTAACCAATGTAAAGCAGACATCATGACCACTAGACTACTCTCGCGGCGGATGCAAGTTTACTAGTTTTCAAAAATTGTAAGATATATGATCATAAGGTAAATTATTCATAAAAGACTCGGCTTCGCGGACAGGTGTGGAACCGGTCAGCCAGAGCGGGGAAGAATACTCGGTAACTAAAAGAGTCAACGGGAACAAGCGGTCTTCGATGCGGGGTTGTGAGTGGTGGCACGCCGCATTGTCTATCAACATGGCATTTTATCGACGAAGGACCGATCAGAAGAGACTTATGGCAGAACTTAAAAAGAACTAATTACATTCCTGGTGGAAGGTGCCCACTCACTATACCCTCACGAATCTGCCCCTGAGCGCTCTCCAAATTCGTTCTGAATGTTGTTATCTGATTGGCCATACGTCGCGGATTTACTGCCGCTTATCTCCGCCTTTAATGACATCGACTGGTGAACCCACGCCATTACTCAGCCTTCCTCATCTCCAACCTGCCACCTTCAATCTCACAACCGACTCTGATTCCAACTATACCCAGCTGGCAAAACCCCTTCTCAAATGTAATTGTAACCAACCCTCCCATAAAGCATGTCTCCCCGAGCACCCGCACACCTCCGCACCCTCCTGCGCACATCCACCCTCCTCCAACCCGCCGCCAGCCAACTCACGCGCAACATCCCACACTCGCAAGTCCAGGTTCAGCGGCGCTCACCTTCGCCATCGTCGCAGTCCCAGACACCCTTCCAAAGGCAAACAAGACAAGTCTCAATTACTACAACACCGCGCGGTGCGCAATGGACGCGCTTCACAACACCGTACTCCTTATCTTCTATTCGAACATTTTCAGCTTCGCGGGTACAATGGAGACCGAGTGAGGAAGTGGGCGGTGCGGCGAGTGATCCTCAAGCTGCAAAGAGGATTGAGGAGCTGATTGAGGAGATTAGGGAACTGTATGTTATGTCTTCCTTGGCCTTTCTCGCGCAACACAACAACCCTCCTAAATTTCCTTAAACCTTCCCCTATTGTTGTTACTGAAGAGGTTGTGTTTGTGAAGCTACGGTACAGCACGAGACGAATTCGAAATTGCCGCCGAAGAAACCGAAAAAAACACCACCTACGCACCCGATGACAGAGAAGCTGCGCGCGAGGAACTGGATAAACTGCTTGGATTCTACAACGAAATTATCGAGGGCGAGGATAAAGCTATTGCGGAGGAAGTCAAGAGGAGAGTGGGGCAGCGGATACGGGAACTGGAGAACGCAGTATTAGCAATGGAGGAGGCTGCAAAGGCTGGAGATTAGATATCGGGGTGGTAAGTGAATGGAAGGTTGGATACAGAGTCTGGGGCTGAAAGGGATTGGCGTCATTTTGGGGAAGAAAAGATGCACGTTTCATTTAGAATCAATCCACGTGGAAAGACGTGGGTATCCGCGGGAGCAGGGGGTGCTCTAGATTTTAGCTTAGTAAGGAGGTACGTGTACGAATAACAATATCTGTAAGATATTAGAGTTAGGGTAAAGATCATCCTCTCATAAACATTCGCTTCTTTCTTCCCTTCTTTTCTTTCATTCACTCATCACATAGATTACTTCTACCCCAACCTCTTTGCCCCGACAACATCCCTAGCCACAATAGAATTCCAAGTGGGCTCAAAACACCATCAATCGCCCTGAGACAGCCGATACAGCCATCTCCCCCAGCAGCAGCAGCAGCAGGGAAGCCAACACTGATGGGTGTCCGCCGGTGCCTGCAGGATTGAGTCCAGAATAAAAGGTTGCAAAACAAGCAGCAAGAGGTCTATGAACAACAAGGCTTCCTAGATCTGAAAAGACTGAACGTTGAAGTTAGAACGGCTCAGGAATTGAATGGAAGCCGGATATAAGTTCAGTAGCAATACCTTTCCTTCCTTGGCACCAGTACATCACTGAAGTCATATGATCCTCGTAAGCGGGCTAGGGACCTTGCGAGTGTCATTCCTGTTTCTAATAACCTTCATCATAAACATCTCACGAAGCCTATATATGCCCTGTCACAATGCCCAATCAGAAGGCTTTCCTGATCCCCCAGAAAGTAAATCATCCAACTCCCCCAATTCATCAAGTCCTACTCCTCCCCTCTCCCCCTTCCTTCTCCCTCCCCTAACCTCATCCTCTTAATATTCTACCACACAGAACCATTCAAAAAGCTCTCCCTCCCCCTCTCCCTCACATGCCACCAACTCCTCCAAACCTCCCTCGCACCACTAAAAGTCCCTTTCCAAGATTTCTCTGCTTCCTTCCCAAACCTAAAAGCGGTTCTCAAGCGCATCAAGCCTATAAACGCAGCTGGGAGGCCGAAGGAGACCTGGTGTCTCTGTGTCGATTGGTTGCGGTACCGGCCTATGAAGAAGACTTATTTGGCTATGAAACAAGTGGGATGGGGTAATAAGGAGTACTATGACTCGCTGGTAGAGAGTTGAGAAAGAAGCCCTCTCAGCAATTTCCTGGGTGTCGAGATGCGGCAAGGCCAACAAGCGGTGGTATGACTCACACACAGCATTTAAATTCTGCTAAGTGCTAACGCCTACAAGTCATGGCGATCACAGCTTGTGGAGCTAGACCTTGACATACTATCGGATGCATGCATGAATTCAGAGGTGGAGGTAGAGTATGCTGGTCCGAGCATGCAGGAGCTCCAAGTTACTTACCTCGTAGTAATCGGGGCGCTAATAATGCTTGTGTACTACCTAATAAGGATGTACCATAATACTCTGGCGGTTCTTAATGATGCATCTCAAGGTGACAGTCCCACTGCTTTAAACAGCACAGGTATTTTCTTGGGAGCAAAAGGTCACACTTAACCCACAGGGTAGGATAAAAGGAATGGGAATCCATGAGAGCAGCGCATGTGTCGAATTGTCTAGGGTATGGACGCATATGAAGAATATATACTGTGCTATATTTACGTCGAGGTTAAAAAACACTCTCATCGACACTGTTCCTTTCTCATTCTTTCCCCCCTCCTTGCTGGTATTGTTATCACATAGTCTTTCTTCTTCAACCCACCTAACAAAAATCACGACATGCCTCTCCAAATCCACTCAAATCGCTATGGCTAATACTCCTGGCACCACCACTCAACTAGTTATCCCTATCATCCATTCAATCACCTGGGAAAAGTCTCTAAAACCGAAACGACAGCCATACTGCGTAACCTGCGTTCTCAACTAGTCTTCCAGCCATACTTCAAGCTTCTGTCACTTACAGGACCGACTCGTTGCTAGATGGACGAGATTGCAATCCTTGCGAAGAGTGGCTACCCCATCTGACAAAGATTCGAGAGATTACTCGATCTACGTTGATATCATGGGGAGCCATTCACGAAGATGAGGTCCTCATCTACTTAGAGGGTTTGCGCAATGCCGAGCAAAACCTTGCAGAATACGCAGACACCATATATCTAATTGTTTCATTGAGCAGGACTTTCGAATCGGCATTATGCGGATTACTCATAGAAGATGGGGTTTTCGATGGGGATATGCCAATCTGCAGCCAGGCCAAGGATGCCGAATACCCTGTCAAGTGGGTCGCTAGCCTCCAGGAAGAGAGAGTGGCAGGTAGCCTTGAGCAAGAAATCTAGAGAATATGAACGAAGAGGAAAAGTCTGACGCATTGCAAACATTACTTGTGATGGCTTGGAGAATTCCGCCTCCATCACAGCACAATGGCATTCGGTGCGTGCGGCATCCTTCATGAGGATAGTGATCATGGTGAGCTTTTCGAATATCCGTCAGGCTTCAAGAGCTGCACTCATATGACGAAAGCTATTGACTTTAGTTCCACACTGAAAGTCAACTTTCGAGCAACTATGATTTCTTGTACGACCTCCACCAAGGGAGGGTATACACATTCTCAATCTCTTGGACGGGAAACAACAGTCAACAGTCATATTTCCCGCTAATGCCGTAATATAACTGATACAACTCTGCCAGAGAAATTGCTTTATATGGCTCTTGCGGATCGTGGCGCTTGGGGGAAACGAATACTTCCTCGCCTTCTGGAGATAGCCCTTTAGAGCGGCGCGACAAGGGCTTAGAAGCCAGCTCTGACTAGTGGGTGAAAGCAGCGTCACTGTCTCGGTCGAGTTGGCAGGGTATTGCTCGATCTCCAAGTCTCTTCAAATAGTCCATGGCGAGGTCGGTACTGGTGTTGGAAGGTCCTAGCCAAACGGTGGCGTGACTTGCATGTTGATATATGCCTCTCGTGAGTTGTACCTGCCAGCTCTTTTCATTGCCGTCTCTTTGATTAATACATATAGCGTCGACCTACATGATGATAGTTCTCGTTTGCTGCCATAAATGGAACAGAGCCGAATGCAGCTTCTTCGTAACTGGTATGGAATCTCTATCTAGAAGAATTCCTTGAGATAGTCGGGATTCCCCCAAAAATACGATAAAGCTTTATACTCTGGGGCTTGTTTGAGGGAGCATTGGGGGAGTGTGCATTGCGGTTGCTCAGGGTCGTTGGAAATGGGTAGGAGTCAGATGAGCCTGATCTCTTCGGCATCCTTGTCCAACGGAGAATAAACTATTGCCAGGATCCTCAAGGAAAATAAAGTTTTCCAAAGCAGAAAAGGGCACTACCGAAGCCACTTCTGACCCTGTCAGGTTGAAGAGATAGGACCAAGAATTAAGTTAGGGCTGTGCGTTGACAAAGCTGAAGCTGACTTTGGACCCGAAGAAAGAAAGGCAGAAGGACAAGTGAACAGGGAGAAGCCTAGCTTACTACAGCATGTTATTACATACCGTAGATCATAATTAGGGTACAATTCATTTGTTAAACACCTTATTGGAATAAATTAGACCGTAAATAGGATGCAAATATCCGTCCTGAATTACACCGTCATGTTCCATGTTAGGTGACAAGATGCAGTGTATATGTCAGAATGAATAGTAACCAAGGTACAAAGTCCAGTTGTTTAATTCAAAGTGTATGTTCCTTCCCTCGGGATGCCGTATCACTCGTATGGAATCCAGCGCCTGCACAATCCAAAGCCGTTGGATATCGTTAAATACAGGAGCGACCCGAAACACCGAACACCTTACATTCGACCCATTTAACTCGCACAAAAGCTCCCGAAAGGGATATTCCAATCTCAAGTTATCGATCTTCACAGTAAGCACCATGGGCGAAACCACGGCCTCGTGGCCGCGCTCAGGGGAATCACCACCACCGCCCGGAGTTTCGGCTTGTGGTTGCACACTGTAGACAATGTCGCGTGTTGGACACAACTGCACACATGCCACAGACATTCTTCCCGCAATCTCGACATGCGAATGTGTTGCTTGAGCCGCATTCATCCAGCTCCATGTCGATTTCCATCTCGTTGGTCTCACTTTGGAGCACCCCATCACAGTCGTCGCAACGCGGAGGATCCCAAGTCTGTGGAGCCACCTGGTGGTGTCGAATCTGAATGGTATGGGACTGCACAGGCGGAGCAGGTAGCTTCCAGAAGGCATGGAGAGTTGATTTCTGGACGGCTGGCGCGTGCTGAGGAGCTAGTTGGGCGGAGTCGGAGAGGATAGGCTGGGCATGTGGATAGTTGCGCTGGGCGGAGAAGAGTTTGTTGATAGTGTTTTCTTGAGGCATCATTAGTCAACCATACCATCATAATACTGAGAGGATAATATTATACCGTGTATTACGCGCTCATCTGGCCGATTGTCGCGGAACCTCTTACGCGTCCGACTCCCCACGTCCGAGGACGACAGCCGCCCAGGCCGCGATTCCCACCACCGCCCAAGGCTGAAATGCGATGATATATCCAGATCCATGGCGCCGTCGAATTGGTGCGGTATTGGCGTTGGGCTCTGGGCTTCGGGGGTCGAGGCTGCGAAGCTGGATGTTGAGACGGGTGAGTCGTCCATTGATCGCTTGCGTTTGAGACCCATTGTGAAGGTATTGTGATAGAATGTGAGATAGAGCGATGCAATAATAGATTTGTAGTGGGGTGAAGAGATGGGATTGTAGAGTGAAGGTGGGTGGGAGTGAGACGAGGTCAATGCTTAATGATGAAATGTGGAGAGGCTGGCGCGCTTCAGCCATCGTCGCGAGACGCGCTCGCGTCGGGCCTTTTTGACTGTCAAATGCACCTCAGCTCTCCTCAGCTTTCGAATTTTGAAGCAATGGCTTTCCCACCTCATCTTTGTCTCTGTTCTCGTTAACATGACCGAGTTAAAGCGTTGCCCGTGAGATCATTGTTGGTTATATGCACGCGACGCCAAGTCACGTGTCTACAGAACAGCCTTGGAGTGCAAATCGTAGAATCATGCAAAGAAAGGACATGTCTTATGACTGCAGTGGCGCCGTCTACTTTATCCACCCATATGATTCGCTATTCTTCATAAAGCTGCTATTAACAGCATGGATGCGTTGTCATCCACCACGGGTTGTTGCGAACCAACCCCACCACGAAATACTGGGCCCCGCAGGGAGCTCTCGAAGCTGTCACTCCTCACTCCTCACTCCTCAAATATCCCACCACCTAGCACTCTAATGGCCACTCGTCCCGCAACCCATGCAGGGTCCTGGTACTCAGACAACAAAGCCACCCTCACACGGCAGCTGGATCAATGGCTGGCCGCCGTGCCGTCCTCCACAACACCCATCGGCACCGCATCCTCACAACAGGGTTCCGTGTCTATCCCGCAAAAGGGCGTTAGAGCCGTCATAGCACCGTAGGCGACGAAACGCTCGGTGAAGAAGGGATGTGAAGCTCATGGTTAAGCAGGCACGCTGGATTTACATACTCCGGGCCTGCTGCTGCATGGGCTTATAAGAGCGTGGACTGGTCGAAAGCGTGGGTTGACTTCTTCTCCTTTGGCAACCACTACCAAGGGAGTGGTATGTACACTAACTGGCGAGCAGCGAGCGTATCTTTCTCCTCGGCCCCTCGCATCACCACTACTTGACTGATATCGAGACAACTGCATATTCAGCATACGCCACCCCTCTAGGGAGCCTCAAAATTGATGATAGCACCGTATCAAAACTAAAAGCAGACTGGGGTATTAAGGTAATGGCTAGGGACGTAGACAACGACGAGCACAGCCTGGAGATGCATTTACCTTACATCTACAAGATGCTGTCACTGTACGCGCCCCCCACTACAATGGCAACAACAACAGCAGCAGCAGCAGCAGGCTCATTTATTTCCCCAATAGCAACTTCCCCAACGCCACCAAATTCCCCACCCTCATCCCCCTCCTTGTCGGCAACACTTCGGGCAGTACCGAACGCCACTACGGAGAAGCCCTATCGCCCTACCTCCTAGATCCCACCAACATCTTCATCATCAGCTCTGACTTCTGCCACTGGGGCTCCCGCTTTAGATACACCTACTATCAACCACCGAATTCCAAACCAGTGCAGCTCCGCCCCTCCTCTAGCGTCCCCACGGCCTATAAAATCCATGAGAGCATCGCAGCGACTGATCTCGAGAGCATGGATGCGGTGGAGACCGGAAGCCATGGCGCCTTTCTCGAGCAGTTGGAGCAGACAGGGAATACAGTTTGCGGGCGTCATCCTATTGGCGTGTTTATGGCGGCTGTGGAGCATGTTGTGGAGAGAGGGGGTGAGGGGGATGTCGATGGGAAGTTTAAGTTTTTGAGGTATGAGAGGAGTGGGTTGGTTACTGATCCAAGGGATAGTAGTGTCTCATATTGTAGTGCATTTGCTGTGCTTTAATGATAGATCATGACTGTGGTTGGACTCGGGGAGCATGGGGTCAGGTAGTAGCAGTGGGGGAGATATAGAAGTATCAAGAAGTATCAAGAAGGATGCTTCTTGTTGTGAACACAGCTCCAGCTAGAGATACACATCTAGGCTGTGTTCTCTAGGCAAGTCGGCTATTACCAAATAGATTCACATGTATTGTTTGCACACCCCCATGTCCAGTCCAAAATAAGCTAGCACTAAAGAGAGCCCACAACCCTACACATATCCACGATACCATGTCACGCCCAGTGTATGTCCTCATCACAAGCAATCCTCGGTTTTCCGTTGTAGCTGAGCAAGCTGACGCTGTGCTTTAGCTTCTACGCATGTCGATATCGGGGCATTACCCCTCGTTATTCTGGGCCTTAAGTTACTCTCGAACTACTCTCCCCGTCCATCTCCTCACGCAGGATACGGACTTGTTTCTTGAGTTCCTGCCAAAGCACTAGTTTCCCAAGCGCGGGGTCTTCGTCTACATATCCGTTATGGTTAAGTGTAGTTTTCCCAAGGAACTCCGACAGTTCGTCACCCGTAGGAAGTAACTCTTGCGGCCCAGACCACTTCAGCTGATCCAAACCTTGGCCGGAGCGCGCAGCAATAGCCAAGAGTGCCGCAACAAAGGCCTCCTGCATATACGCAAATGAGAATTTGTCCGTAATCTTCGCTACCGCGGGACACATATCATCCGGGAACTCAATCTCCTCGTTATGCCTGAGTTTTCTCTGCCAGAACTGAGCGTACTGTACTCTCTGCGCAAAGTCCGGATCCGGAAAGTAATATTTACGATCGAAGCGACTGGGACGCTTTGCGATACCGGGGTCGAGTCTGTCGAGGTGGTTTGTGGAACCCACCATCAGGATGCCGTCATTGGATTTGAGGCCGTCGACTTCATTGAGGAAGTAGGAGCGTACACGGTCGTCGACGATGCTGTCCAGGTCTTCAAAGACGAGGTAACAGGGAGCGACCTCGCGGGCTTTGGCGAAGATGGCACGAAGGCTGTATTCCGGACCGCCAAAGGAGGCGAGGGTGCGGACGTAGAGTGTGGGGACAGTCATTTTGGAGTTTGTGGTGCCTCGTTGGTAGAGCGAGTGCATCATGGCTTTGATGGAGATGGTTTTGCCATTTCCAGGTGGCCCGTAGTAGATGATGCCGCGTTTCCATGGGACTTTTAGATTCTGGTATGTCGAGCGTCCATCGAAGAAGTTCTCCACATCGGAAATAAGAGACTTCTTCATGTCTTCATCGAGAATCACGTCCTCCCAATGGCTCTTTTGTACCGATTCCCACAGCTCTCGGCTCTTCTGCCAATACCCCTGATCAAACACCCAGACCTCGTTATGCAGCTCGACTCCCCAGCTGGTTGCTTGTTTCAGTAAGTCATCGACCTTGTGGTTCTCTCGTGTGAGGATGTAATGGATCGTGATTTCCGGATAAGAGGCCGTGCCGTCTCTACCATTCGCAATATACAGAATGAATTCGGTGTTGCCCCATTTGTACAGGTATTTTCCAAAAATGACACGCTCAGCCATGACGCCAGAAGAGCTATCAAGGCGGCGAGCAGGAGGAATGTAAGACCGCCATGACAGGGCTGGACCATAGACTGGGTCTTTAGTGGAGTCTTGGATGGGCGTGGCCGTTGCAAAGCCAGCAGAGGCATAGGCGATGAGATTGCAATTGCCGACAGGCACAACAATGAGGTCAAGGTCAGGGTACTGAGTTCGAAGAGACTGTACGAGGACGATGTCGGTGTTGACACGCTGGGCACTAGAGTGCTCGAAGTATTCGCGGGAGGTCTGGTCCTCGTGAGCGTTGACAGTGAAGCTGTTGCCTGTCATGGTAGCTGCTTTGGCAGGTGCTAGTTAGTGGGAAGCAAATGTGAAGATGGCAAGACTGTGAGAGAATGCTGCAAGGCGGCAGTGTCAGTGAGAGATGGAAGGACGCCTTCAGACAGTCGTCAATCGCGGGTTTGCTTCTTTCGTTCGAAGGATGAAGGAGCTTGAGCTTTGCGCGTCATGGTGAGGCGGAGCAAGCACAAAGGATGGCCGGGCTTCCCCGCGGGGAAGGTCTCATGTTCATCAGCATTGGCTTACATAATCACCATCATGTGACAAATGTGCTCCAGCTTTCAGACATGAACAGAAATCGCATATTCCTGATGTCTTCCCGAGAATCGACATCCAAAGCGTTCCTTTTTGAGAGGTACGCCTCGGGGCTTTCCTTAGCGTCATCGGAAGCCACCCTCGTGCATCCTCCGCGGCCGAAGCCGACTGAGCGCCAAGTGGTACCAAGACGGCAGGATCAAAGGCGAAGGCCCCAAAAAAAAAGCCACTCGTTTCGTTCAACGACACACTCGAACGATCTCAGTCCACACGTTCAAAGCACAACAACGGACGAGAGGATGAAAGCCACCTCGGTGGGGCTAGGAGACCACCTGTAAGCCATGCCTCGTGGAGCTGTCAATCGCGTGGCCAGCACATGGTCTCAACGTTTTTTGTAGTTCCTTGGCTTGCGAAGCACAAGAGTGCCCAGAAATAGTTTGCTCCAACATCACGCCATCTTCGCGGTTTCTGCTTTGAATGGATCTTGGGAAACATGGTGTTGTGCCTACTTTCGTACGACCAGAACCTGGCGGACAGGTGTTTCTGTACAGCTGGGACCGCCTAGAAAACCCCAAATCGATCATGCGGACTCTAGTTTCGGATAACGAGGCATCTGGGGACAGCCTCGACCACGGCGGATAAGGTGGAGTCCCCGGATTTCTCCTTCCTTGAACTCCACCACAATCTTAGGAAGCGAGCAACCTAGTGTCTCGCAAGGTCAGCTGATTATGGACTGATGAAATCCCCAAACAGAACAACTACTCCATCTTCCACGAGGCTTTTTCGGAGAATGGAGAGGTACTTTGTGGTTTACTTTCACAGTAGGAACCTTCGCCATGAAAGGTAGGACGTATCGAACAGCCCTATAGAGTCATCTGAGGGGTAGCCAATTAATATTGATTGCACCATCTCAGGAACCACTTTGAAAAAAAAGGGTAAGGAGCAGAGGGTTGCAAGATCCTGGTGAAGATCTCGTATATTTGTAGTGCCACCTTCAGATATATTGTGTGAACGCCGTTCACCCAAGATGAAGATTGAACCCGCTGAAATGGGAGCTTAATGTTTGGTAGGTGGGATTATCAGGTCGTCCAACAACGACGACTGGAGGACACACCGATGGCAGAGTATCTCTGTCTTTCTATTTTCGAAGAGTAGCCCAAGGGACTGCCGCTTTCGGTTTCTCAATGCCGTCTGATCTCTCGGAAGTACGGGATGATTCTAGTGCTATGTGTCAGCCATACGCATGGAAGGGAAAGAGAGGGATGAATCCTTCGAGAACTGCTTCCATGCCTGCTATGTCTCACCTAATTCCCTCCAGTGCATGAAACGATTTCAACGCCGACGATCTCAGAGAAAGTACACTGGAAAGCTCATGCAAGAAACGATGTTCAGCCCGTGAGGTACAGAGGCAGAATGCAAGGTCATATTACCTTGAGTGTACGGCTAAACGTGGCTGGGGACACTGAATCCTGACGGTTCAAGAACGTGCCTTCAAATTCGGACTACATTACTCTGCCCTCAACTACTCTACAACCAAGGTGTTATTAGTGCGATAAGGCAGTCCGCGATGAGAAACATTCATAGGCGGCACCGCGAAAGTATTGATGGACTATCATGGAGTTAATTTTGACAGTTAATTCCGCGCGATGCAAATAGCCTAAAGTCATGATCGCGCAAGCTCGAAGTGTCGAATAATCCATGCAGAATCCTTTCAAATGGAAAATCCAATCACAGGTAGGAACAGACGCGCTAATGAGCAAGATGGTGTACGCAATTGAGTCCGCGACTGTTGACCTTTCAGACGAAGATATTGCCGCTGGCACTTCGTGGAAACTTTAAGCCCCCGGATGACTGTTGCTTTGCGATCAAAACTATTTACATGTCGGCTACAAGAAACTCAATGGTCAATCCAGCACAGTGGCTTCGACAAAGGGCTAAACCAGGGCTCGGGTGCGTGCTGTTGGCTGACATCTCCGCCTCCCGCTGGGCCGAATACCTGCAGCACAATTCACGGCCGTCGGCCTACTATGGTCTCAGGTGAGGTCTCGGGGAAGGCCCTCGCGCGGCCTTTGGCGGAAAGCTAAGGCCGGCGATGCCGCTATTTCCACGTTGCTATGGAGCCTTTCCTCACCGGCGGTCATGGGATTTGTATTTCGCAGACGCTTTGAAGAACTGTATTCAAAGACTCGTCGGCATCGCGATGGGGTGACGTCTCGTTTGGCTTGTTATGTCAGACCAAAGCAGGAGCCGGTGGCTGAACGCCCAGAACTCGCCCAGAAGCTTAGTTTCTCTTGCTCCTGAGCCATTCTCCAACTGGAGACACATTGCAGACCATCATCCTCTGCCTCATTCGAGAAGCGCTCGGACGACCTGCCAGAACCCTTCCGTCTGCTCCGAGCAAATGAAAATCAGTCGCCCACATCCTCACTGATAGGAGAGAGCCGACATGGATCAAAAGGACGCTCACTAGGAATGTCGACAGGAGGATCAGTGAGGTGGAGCATTCATTGCGGCACGGCAAGGAGCGCAAGAAAGGATGCCCGCTGTTTATTTCCACGCACTGAAGCAACGACCGCATCGTGCTCTCCCAAAACGTCTCATTAGAGGGTTCGCTGCTAGCATCCCCAAGGAGCACATGAGAGCGCCCCATTGACCGGGGCATCTATTTCTGCTGCAGCCGATATCCGCTAATTTCTGAGGCTCGAGCGAGATTGATGACAATAACGACAGCCACGCTCTCGAATCGCAGCGGTGCAGTCACGATGATGAAATTCCTTGGATCGCAGTCGGCGAAGTGGTTCGGCAGAGAGGCAAATGCGTCTCGACACCGCCCTCCGAACGTCCAGCAAAGATATCTCATGACGCAAAAACCAAGCGACGATCGGCTGGCGCGTAAGATGAACTTGTCTCGTTGTGTTCACGCCCACAGCGGACGTCCGGGGTCTCGGCGCACTTGTTTTGGCGCCGATCCACCGCGCAGGTGGCTGATGTGCTCGATGCAACCAACAACGGCAGGCAAGCTTTTTCGTCAACACTCGTTGACGCCAGTGCGCACGCTGCGACTCCTTTACCCGGCATGACCTGGAAAAGACGGGGAAATCAGTTGACTGGCCCGCTTCGGAGCATGTTTTGACCTAATTAACAATGCTTGGCTGGAGCTAAAGCCGTAAATGCTTCCACGGGTCCTGGCACACGTCGTTCGTCTGGGAAGCTCGAGTAGACGAGCTCTCGGACCGGTCACTCCTGGAAATATATCAGACCCCAATCCCCATAGTATGGATTCCTTTTAGTCTTCCCCTTCCCCAGCTTTCCCTGAAACCATTCCGTGAACTGGACACCTCACCAGCGGGTCACTTTTTGTCATTTTTAAAGCTCGATACCCTTTTCATCTTCCTGTTATACATCTAATACCGAGTGACCACAATGGCTACCGCTCACGAAACTACTGTATGTTGACGTTGCTGGCTCGACCCGTGTGTTGTCAGCACTCTCCCCGTTGAACATGCAATTGCTAAATGAATGCCCAGGCTACCGATACTGCTGGGGGTGAGACCACTCTACTCCACAACAAAGAAATCAATGGCACCAGTGGTGTTGACCATGCTGGTGGTGTAGCAAAAGAGAGGAAGCCTTATGGTGACTATGGTTGGTCTTCCTTCGCGGGCTTAGAACTAGCTTCGCCGCTAGCTCAAGTCATCTCATGCTCATATTCGTAGGCGGTAACCCTCTCGCCCACATCCGCACGAATGACCCGGAGCTTCGCCTGCCTGCTTTCGGTGGTGATTTCCAGCCCGGTCTCTACAGGTTAGACAAGCACCGCAGACGTGTCGACCCGAGCCGCTCGCGTCGATCTTGTACTGAACATGCCTAATCGAGTTTCAGGGCCCCTAGTCGTAAATTTGCCAACCCTGCGCCTCTCGGCCTCTCTGCTTTCGCTTTGACTACGTTTGTCCTATCTTTGATCAATGTTGGAACGCGCAGCATTGGTTCCCCAAGTCTTGTTGTAGCCCTCGCCTACGGCTATGGCGGATTCGTCCAGCTTCTTGCTGGCATGTGGTAGGTTTTAATGTATCGATTGGTTCGATCCGCACTCACGAAGATGATAGGGAAATGGCTGTCGGTAACACGTTTGGTGCCACTGCTTTGTCTTCCTATGGCGGTTTCTGGCTCTCATTTGCCATCATTCTCACTCCAGGGGGGTTCGAGATTGAAAGCACTCTGGTCAAGCACGGAGAGGCTCCCTTCCTTAACTCCTTCGGTCTCTATCTGATGGGTTGGTTCATCTTCACCTTCATCCTGCTGCTCTGCACCCTACGGTCCACCGTGGCCTTCTTCCTCCTGTTTTTCACGCTCGACATGGCCTTCCTCCTTCTCGGCATTGGTTACCTTCAATTCGACGAGGCGGGTCCCCAGGAGGGTTGCATCAAGGCGGGTGGTGTGTTTGGTCTTCTCGCCGCCTTCCTCGCCTGGTACAACGCCCTGGCCGGTATTGCGGACAATTCCAACAGGTTAGTCATTCTCACCAACAATTCCCCGGTTCTCAATAACGCCGGCACTAACATTCTACTCACAGCTTCTTCGTCATCCCGGTTGCGCACTTCCCATGGAGCGACAAGGGTCGCGAGAGGCGCGCGAAAGTCGACAACGAGGCGGCGCGCGTTACTGAAGCCGTCGCATAAACGATAGCATGAGAAAATTGTTGCATGTGTTTGTATTTGCGTTATGCAATCAGGGATTTGGAATTTGGGGGAGGATTGCAATTGTGCACGTCCTCCAGTCTAGTGTCTGTCTGGAAAGGATCGGTAACGGCGGGAAGAAAGTATCTGCACCAATCAGTGATGCCAAAGCCTTTCCGCCGCTGACGTTGCTTTGGAAGTACCCATTTTAATGCCATTTTTGGATTATTGGATTTCTTTGACTCCATGGAGTACTGGTTGCGCTACACTACTATTGCCTCTTGTTACTGGTGGTTTTGCGTCATTCACTGTTCACGTGCGCTGTCCCGCTGCAAGCTCCAAGGACCCGAGATCGAATCCTGAGACACAGATCGCTCATTACGCATATCGCCCAGCTACCCCGCATGTCTTGTCCGCTGTTGACTCCTATTCCCTCTATCTGTCTCTCCCGGGCTAATATGTGTAGGACTTGCCTGAAAAAAGTAGTAACTAAATTAGAAGCAGCAATCTGCAATCGGTATTTCCGCTTGCTACCCAGCCATGGATGCAAGGTTTCAGCGGTTTGTTCGAGCTTGCCTGCGCCATGCCTCAGATGCTGGCCCAAGCTTTGGTGCAGGACGGTTTTGGTATGGGTACGGACAAAGGCGATTTGCGCTCGTCTTCGCTGGTTGAGGATTCCTTGCAATTAGAGTTGGGGTAGGGGCATGACATTGTGTTTCAGATGCTTCGATCTGAGCGGAGAGCCTCCTGGGTATATCGATGAACATGGAATCGAAGGGCCGAATACCTCTTTCGGCAGTTCTCTAAATTTTTGGGACGTTACGGAAATCTTTATTTTTATCCACTCACGACGTTGCGCTCTATGTTTTGCCTCACGTCTCTTCCCTGTCCTGGTGCATACCAGTACCTGGTACCTACAGGTCCATCAGGTCAGGTTACCGAATACCACCGACCTGGTTGCGAAACGCTCCAGGACCGCTCCACTCACTCCACCGACGTGGATGTCATGCAGGGAAAAACGAAAACTGTTCTGACATGATTCTGGAAGAATTTGGGGAGTGACTGAGGCAGATAATACACCGCTCATTGAGTTACACCGCTCATTGAGTGAGCCTCTTCTGCCTTCGCCGCCTCTTAGATCTGCTGTTATGGGCAATGTCTGTCTTACTTCTCAATGGCTAGAGCGTCTTTCTGCTTCTGTCGTTCTTCTTCTGCTGGCGTCCTTGTCTTCAGCTGCAGCGCGTGAATCCCGCCCTCTTGCGCCATCTCATCTTTTAGAAGCGCGTACACCATTCGGTGTCGTGCGGGTTGCATTTTGGATGCGAAGGCCTCGGAGGTTATCGTGACGCTGTTGGTTGGTGTCAGGTGATAAAGTTGCTTTCATCCATGATTCCAGCACCAGTCGGGATTTTCTGCATGAAAGCTCAGACGGAAACGTACCGGAAATGTGTCTATCACAGGTCTATTAGCAACTAATTCAATTCGTACACGACTGCGCTCTCAGGAATCCGAAGGAAAATAGTTTGAAGCACTACCATACCTCTTTCGATGTAACACCCTGCATGGCCTTATGATGCGAATGCAAATGCGAATCATTAAATATCTCCAATGCCGTCGGTTTCAAAGCCTCTGTAATCTACATGCCGAACTTCATTAGCCTCCCGTCCCATCTTGGAAATTCAATGAGACTTTCCTTCATCCGCATGGTATCCTCCATTGGAGTCATGGATTGCGTCGCCATGCTTGACAAGAACCGTGTTCCGGCGAGCCTCGCAGATCGGAGGAACATAAAGTGGAACTTGAGTTTAGTGAGCTAGAGGGGAGCGCTCGACGAGGGGTGGGAATGCGGGATCTGTGATAGGATAGCATAGAATAGGATAGAAGTTGACCGATGGTTAAGGTTTGCGATTCGGAGGTAGATTTGCCGACCGAGCCTAGTGCCAAGGCCGAGCTTGGAAAGTCCGAGAAAATCATCGCTATTCCCTGCACGTCCTGACCTCCGAATCCATTCATCCCTCATCGGCCCTTTCACATCACGCGAAATGCCCTCTGGTCTAATGAGTTCCTAGGAAGGCATACATCAGCGGATGAGAGAACAAAAATTTTTTGTCGGGCAGTATTGCAAGACTCTTCCTTTCGGGGAAGATGCCCAAGGCCTTAGCTACAAAGATAAGCTATAAGTAACACAAAACACACAGCGACCTATTCCTAAGGAAACTATTTGAACAGATCACTCCCGAATTCTCCTTTCAAGTCTATCCTCAATAGGTTCTTCTCGATGACTTCATCCTTCCTTGCTTCTAATTCGTCCACATCCCAGTTAGCAGACATATATCGCCCGCTCAAGAATTGCGCCTGTGGCGAGGCTAAGTACACTGCAGTGCCGGCAGGGAGTTCAACTTTAAGTTCCAAGATCAACTACGTTAGCCTGATTATCGAATTTGGTAAGGAAAGCGAAACCGGCGTCCGCAGCAAGATTGACGTACCCGTATCCTCACAGAAATGGAGTGTTTCTGGATGTCTGTTTGCCATATCGGTAATCGTCATTCCGGGGTGATAGCTGATCGAAGAGACTTTGGGATATGCCGAAGAAATAGCTTCCGACAACCTACTCAGAGCCAATTTGCTAATTTGGTAACTAGTACCTGCGGGCCTTGTCCAGAGCATGCCAATGCTACCAACGTTGATGATAGTTGCTTCTCTGTCTAAACCGACCAGCCTGAGAAATGCTCTGCTCATAAGGTAGCTTCCCTTGACGTTGACCTCCTAGATTCAGTTAAGTAATCGATTAGCCATATATTCCCTCCTAAATCCAAAAGCCAGGACGAGGGTATCTCACAAAATCTGCCCACCATTCCTTCGGATTAGTCTCTCTAATTGTCTCAATGGATGACCAGAGACCGGCACCGTTGATTAGGACATCCGGGATCCCAAACTCAAACTTGACAGTCTCTTCTAGGTGGTTCACGCTATCTTCGGAAGTAGTATCCGTTGGAACAACCAAGACATCAGCATTGGGGTTTATCCTGAGCAACTCTTGTTTAGTTTCCTCAAGCTTTTCAGCGCTGCGGCTTGCTATAACAATTCGGTCTGCATCTGCTTTCGCAAATGCAAGAGCAATAGCCTTCTCGAAGGTCATATTAGTATACAGATAGAGAGCATTAGAATGGGAGATAAACTTGCCTTGCCTATGCCTTGGCTAGCGCCAGTCACAATAACGGTCTTTCCTTTCTGCGACAGCTTGGGCGACGCCGGGTCTATCGAAGGGTATTGGTCCCGGTGTACCGTTTTGGTAAATTGATGCGTCTTAACAAAGTAGTCAGCAGACAGTGGTTGAGTAGAAATCGCGGCCATTTTGCAGCAGTTTAGCTTATTAGAGGTGGAGGTATGTTGAGTGTCTTGCAATGTAGTAATGACTCTGGACCTCGAGATGCCTTGTTTATATCACTTTTCGCCGTCGATTTCAGTCCATTCAGCCATTTCCATTCTCTCAGCGCGACCTCGAAAAGGGTATTTGGTCTCAAAATCCAGCCTGATACGGTTAGTCGAGTTGGCGGCACCGCCCCGTTCGAGTTCGTGCGCCCTCTGAACCCCGACGTGTACCTGTCAGCTTTGAACGTGCACGAAACTAGGACGGGAGTTGCGGCGGCACCAACAGGGCAAACCACTTAGAAATCCGGCTAGGCTTGGAGAAATAAGCGAAGAAAGCGTGCAGTGACACAAGAGCTGATTGCCTAACCTCCGCAATCTGCAGCCGTAACTATAAACCATTTGCTCCTAGCCCAGTTGGTCTTCTTTTACAACGACCGCTATCCATTTCGGGTTCTTTCAACCATACACTCACTTTACATCAGCCCCCAATCAGTCGCAATCCTGACAAATGACGATGCTATCTCCGAAATTTTTAGTCTTTGATAGTAAGGCGGGGCCGAATGTCGAAGGCGAGGGGTTTACTTATTGCGTATCGAGAGACGCCAATGTTCAGTGGCCAAAGCTGGTTCGAAGAGGAAGACCGAGAAAAGGTGGGTTGTATCCATTCTGCTATCTCTATTAGGTCAAAATAAACTAATTGGGTTTGGCATACATACAGATCCTAAAGAACAAGGCCGCTCGTTGAAGTACCCGATAAAAGAGGTAGACAGACCAACAAAGGAGCGCTATGAGTTTGTCGACTGTTCGGATGGGCAGCAGCCCAATGACTCGAATACTCGAAAGCTCGTCCGGACCCACGTCATGCGCAATTATCGACGGCAGAAACAGATAGCTGCGGAGGCAAAGCTAGGACCCCAAGGCAGGGGAATTGAGAGTCAAGATGATGATGATGCAAAAACGATGGCTGAACTTGAATGTCCCCTTGTTCCATCACTGGAACACTGGAGTGCAGACCCATTTGATAGTTTCCCGATAGCTATGCAACCATACATGCACGAACTTCTTTACGAATGTGAGTCCTCTACTCCCCATTTATCGAATCATTGGCTGCCAATATCATATGTCATCGCTGTAAAGGAAATTGCTGATGCCATTGTGAAAGACGTCTCTGCTGTGGCAGACCACTTGTACCCAATCGAGGCATATTGGGGATTCAATCCAACAAAAAGTTCTGGGTGCCCCTAGCGCTGACCGACCCCGCTCTGATGAGCTCGATTCTATTCGTTAGCCATCAGTTTAGGGCACGAATGAATGGCCACAAGGAGCGTCCCACTGCAATCAATCACTTGCAGGAAACGATACGGATCCTCACTGAACGGCTTCAGAATCCCTCGCAGGAAATACGTGATTCAACGATCGCTACCGTGGCCGGGCTAGCCCTAACCGAAGTAGGCGCTTCCGCAGTTTGAATCGAAACATACTGACTTATTTTCGGCAGCAATCAAGCGGTAACCAGGTAAACTGGTGCATTCACATGAGGGGTACAAAGCGGATGGTGGAGATGCGAGGAGGCTTGTCTGCCTTTGAGTGTAATCCCATCTTACATGATAAGCTTTGCCGGTAAGTTGAATTGCACCGTTGTTGATCAGTGATTGTTCCTAAGGTAGTATTAGGGCGGATATCTGCGGCTCCGTCTATGATCTCTCGAAACCTTACCTGCAGATGGGGAGCAGAAGGGTGCAGCCAAGTGTTCTTCGAAGCAGCGACGAAGCAGAGAGAACCCTCGGCCTCGGGTTTCAGGCTGTCCACGATGATTATAGGCTGGACTCTGATCTTTTCAACATTCTCTTCGAAGTACATACTGTGACTCAGGACATCAATGCCGTCAACCCGCCAAAGTCAGAAGCCATTCCCTTGAGATTGCGCGGGAATATACGGTCAGTTCAATACTACCTTCTCTCCAGAGAGAATTACGATGACATCGGCGATTCTGAAGACCAGATTCACAAGGCATGTCGCCTAGGCATCTTGCTCTACGTCGGTATCATCCAGAATGATTTTTGGGTCTCGTCGATAAGTAGGCAACTGATATGGCAACTGAAGTCTTGTCTGCAAAGAGATGGCTTCACCGCTGATTCTATGCGCGCACTGCGTCTGTGGCTCATTTTTCTCGCGGGCTCTCTTGTCCTCGACCCAACCGAAAAGCTGTGGTTTATATACTCTGCTGTGAGAGCGATCTCGCAGCTTTCCCTATTGAATTGGCGCGATGCTAAATTGCTTCTCGAGAGTTTTGCCTGGGCTGGAAGAGTGCAGGATAAGTCTGGCCGAGATCTATGGGATGAAGCCATGAAGATGCAAAGTGTGTTGGGAGAAGTGACATAGCCTTATTGCCCTGATTTGGACTCCACTTGCAGACCCGGGTTTCGTGACAGGACATGATAGATTGCGGCTGTGGCTTTGAGGATCGGAGGCAGATCTGCAGACCGAACCCGATGCCAAGGGTGAGCTCGGGAAGCTCGGTTGGAGAGCTTGCAGATGGGATGCACACAGCGCAATCGGGTTTCAATCATCAATAGCGCTTTTCAAACCATAAAAACCAAGAAACCATTGCCCTAATATAACCATTCAGAACCAAGTCTAGCCCAAGCGTCTTTCAACAGCTATCGAAAACACAAAAAATGGGTGACGGACCATTGCACCGTCAGACGGCGCATTCCTCCTGAAAGTCCGGAACGCGAAACACAGACGCTGGATGCGATCCCTAACTGCCGTACTCCGAAGCTCACCTTGCTGCATAACCCAGCCTCATATCACCCTGGGCGTGCGTCCGCTATGTGGGCGAGAAGGCTCTTCTCTCGCACACTCGCTCGCTCAAACATCCACTTGGATTTTAGTCGCTGTATTCATCCTGTTCAATTCGCTCACCCGGCGCAAATATTGCTATTCGATACGTCTGTCAGAATGGCATCGACACTTCCCCGCCTTCCCATATTTGAGGCCATCAAGAAACACGATGCCATGTCCACGGCTGTAGTGCACTCGCTTTCCGGTCGCAGTTTTACGTACGGAGAGCTGGTCAATGATGTCGCAGCTGCAAAGGACAAATTGCAGCACAACACCCACGGGAAGAGTGCGGAGGGAGAACGAATAGCGTTTTTGGTCGAGAATGGGTATGACTATGTAGGTGCGCATCAATTCAATCCCAACCTCCCTACCTTCCCAAACCAATTGTAATTGACGCGAGAATAGTGACGTTGCTTTCCATTCTGGCGGCACATGCTATTGCGGTGCCGTTGTCCCCTACTTTCCCTGCGCATGAGCTGCGATATATTTTAGATCAGAGCGAATCGCTCATGCTTCTCTCGTCGGAGAAGTTTCAGGATAAAGCTGATGAGGTGCTAAAGGAGGGCATGGAGACGGCGCCGATAAATTACAAGCAAGATAAGATCATGATGGGGAAGACGGACGACTATGTTACTTTGGAAGGCCCCGCCAGCGACCAGGGAGGCATGATGCTGTACACATCCGGGACCACGAGTCGTCCGAAAGGCGTGCTACTCCCACAATCAGTGCTAACCGCCCAATCTATGTCGTTACTGAAGGCGTGGGAATACAGCAAAGACGACGTCTTACTGCACGTTCTCCCACTCCACCACATCCACGGCACTGTAAACGCGCTCCTCACCCCGCTCTTCGCAGGCAGCACAATAGAATTCCACTTCCCCTTCAACGCATCCGCTGTCTGGGAACGCCTCGCCGCGCCCTTCCTCCCTACCCCTGACCCCTCCAAACGACCGATCACCTTCCTAACCGTTGTCCCTACAATATACACACGTCTGCTATCGTCCTATTCGACGCTCTCTCCCGACCTCCAAACCGCAGCCAAAGAAGCCCTCAAACCGAGTAGCATGCGGCTCAACATCTCGGGCTCCGCCGCACTCCCAACTCCCGTGAAGTCCGCATGGACAGAACTCAGTGGCGGAAACGTGCTGCTGGAACGCTACGGCATGACAGAAGTTGGGATGGCGCTATCGTGCGGGCTACCCTTCTCGTCACGCGTCGACGGATCCGTAGGCTGGCCACTACCCAGTGTCGAGTGCCGACTCGTCGACACGGAAACAGGACAGCTCATCAAAGAAGGCGAGGAATTCGACGTCTCTACTGACCGCGAAAGACTAGGCGAAATCCAACTTCGCGGTCCCACGGTGTTTAAAGAATATTGGCGGAACCATGAAGCTACAAGCAAAGAGTTCGTAGATCCGGAGCCCGGCGATGAAAATCAGGGGAAGTGGTTTAAAACCGGTGATGTGGCATACCGGCGCTTTATCCCCCCCCTCTCCTCCTCCGCCTCCTCTTCTTCTTCCTCATCCTCCTCCTCCCCTTCCCCTTCACTTAAAGCTGCTGCTTCCTGGTCCCAAGGACCCATGTACTTCATAGCAGGCCGCCTCTCCTCCGATATCATCAAAACCGGCGGGGAAAAAGTGTCCGCTTTAGAAGTCGAACGCGAACTTTTGTCCCTCCCCCAAATCCTCGAATGCGCCGTCGTCGGCCTCCCCTCTGAAACCTGGGGTCAGAAAGTCGCCGTCGTCGCCGTCTTAACGGAAATGGGCAAGACGGCGGGGAGGAAGGGTGGCGAGTGGAGCGCGTTGGATATGCGGAGGGCATTGAAGGAGCTTGTGGCTAATTATAAGATTCCGCAGGAGCTGAGGACGATGGAGAGCGGACTCCCGAGAAATGCGATGGGGAAGGTTAACAAGAAGGAGCTTGTAAGGCAGATTTGGGGGGAGGGAGTTGGGGTGGAGAAGGAGGGAAATGGGAGCGTGGATGGGGCTGCGTGTGGGGTTCTGATGAATGGGAGTGTATGATTATTCTGAAGTCTGACGTCTTGTATTCCAGTTGGTTGGAACTGACGGCGAGGACTGCAGCCTGCCCTGCTACTACTTAGTGTCAATGCTTTGGTATAATGTAATTGTAGTTAAGCGACACAGGTAAAATCCAATAGAGGAAACCCCCAAAAGGTCAAGACAGATTCTATCTCAACGCTCTTTAGCCTCTCCATTGGATCGATTTCGCCGCGACTGTCACTGACGAATGGCATGGCGGACCCAGTGCGATGCGTCCAATGAGTAAGCAGGGACAACGGCCACTAGAGTAGATTGCCTAAGGAAGAACGAGCGAGAGCTAGACCAGCCGTAAAGGAAAGGATGGAGTGACATGACTAACAAACCATCCAGACTTGTCCGACAACGCTAGGAGTAATGGTCTGGCAAAAGAGAGATAAATCGGATTTGAAAAGAGAATACACAGGCATGGTATGAGCGTGATTCAGTAGGGAACATGGAAGTTTTCAAGGTCTTATTCTGAAGGCTGGCTAAGGGAGGGGGGCGTATTCTAAGCTAAGCACGCCCGTCCAGTTGAGCGATAAAGCAGTGAACGGACGCGCGCTATTGTGCAGGCCGCTAGCGTGGGCAAAATATGGGACTGGACAGTTTGGTGGAATCGGGAGGGCAAGGCATTGTTCCCGAATGAGTGGGAGGGGGTGAAGCTAAGATGGAAGCAAGGTGCAGATGGAATAGGCAGCGAGGGGTATTTGCCTCTGCATCATGCCTTCGGAACTGGATCGCGTACCTAGTACCGGTTTCTTGATTGGGGCATGCATCCACCGCTTCATTTTCGAATCGATGTCTGTGTTTGTGCCTATTTGTGAGTTGTGTCTGCCCCTGCATGGGGCCACACAATGCACTTGGTGATTTGGTGTGGAGATGACCAATCAGGAGCATTTCTGCAGCACCACCACCCATCAACGTCCCCTCATCACGAACACCAAGGTCGTCATTCCCAATCACTGAGCGAGAGAGAAGGCAGTTGATTATACGTATTCCATGGCGGACAGATTGCAGATACTATTACTGAGTCCCTCCCGAGATACCCATCCGTAGCTAAAACAGCAGTAAAGAAACACTTGGTGTGGGGAGATTAACCTTTGACCAGGAACCTCAACCCATCTAACCAACCAACCAGCCAACCCTAGATGAAAAAAGAAAAAGAAATGGCGAAAACGAAATCGAAATCGAAAGGTGGGGCTGGGGAGGGGAGGGAGGAATACAAAGCCCTGCATGGGACAAAAGCCAAATCCAAACCCAGACAAGCAGCAGAAGAGACATTCTGTTCCAGTCCGGTGGCATCGCAGCCAACATGCATCTATATTGTACACCAGAATCAGGACCGGAACAGTGAGGGAGGAGCCTATCCGTTCCATCCTGAACAAGAAACGCCGTAGATATGCCAGAGGAGACACAGCAGCTATGAGAGCATAGCTACCCTTCCCAAGCATCCTTCCATAACTCGTGAGTCATGATGGATGAGGAAATAATGACGACACTTTATTGGTAGTAGCCTGAATTTGGAGCCGATGAGCTGGTGTTCGGGTCGTTGGAAGCACCCCCGCCGTTGTGGATGACAACGTTGCCTCCTGGTTTGCTGCCGTAGCGACGGGATGATGAGGATGCCGTGTTGGCATATAGACTCTGGGATGAGCGGGTCGAGGAGGATGCATAGGCTACGTCGAAGAGTCAGAATGGGTTGTGCTATGACGTGAAGGCGTAGGCAACTTACATGAAGCTGAAGGAGACCGAGAGGCTCCGCCCTTGCTCTGTCCGTAGGATGACCCGTAGTTTGATCGTGAAGACATAGCTGACTGGTGTTCAGGCGCTCGGAGGTATCTAGATTCTAGCTTGATTCGTGAAGTTCGAGTTTAGAGATTGCGGCTGTCGTCGACGAGAGCAGGCTCCTGAGTTATTCTTGGTATTTGCTATTTGGCACAGAGCAGTTGAGGGCGCGTGAGAGGCAGAAGCAGAGACAAAAGCTGGAGCTATTGACTGAGCAGCAGGTACAATGACTGGAAATAGTTTGACGGTAGTATGAATCACAGCTGAATGACTGAAGATGGATGGATAAAAAGAAGGAAAGTGCAAACGCCATGCAGATTTATACTCCAGGCAGATTCCTGAGGCCGGTAACAGTTCACTCCATTGACTCCTCTGTTGGTGGCAATCGGGGACTTCCTACGCTACGACCCTACCTATCAAATGTCGGTGCCTGGATAACAAGGTGCGCGCTGGCGAGTGAATGCGCGCGACGGCAATGACTGATTGAGGCTATGTCCATATGGGCTTGACCGGCCCAGGCTCTGGGGCAGAGTAGGCAAGGGGTGACAGGCTGCACCATGCGCCGACGCGCCAGCAGCGTCTGTGGGAGTCATCGTGACCCGTTTGAGGTCCTATTTGAACGCTTGAGGTGAATACGTTCAGTCGAGATGACCAGGCGCCGTGACGACAGCAGGTCTGACGCAAAACCCCGAGGGCGATGACTGGAGTGCTTGCAAGGCACATCAGGCAGGAGCCAGTCAGGAGGCCGCAAGTAGAATAAGGCCAGGCTGAAGCATTGAGCCAGTCAATGGACAAAGAGGGCGAAGAGTGAATGGCAAGTCACCGGAATTCCGAAAGAGGTACAGTGTGGGGGCCATGGGAAATGGATGCCTGGGGATCGAGTGCGGTGACCTGGAGCAACTTGACCGCGCGCCGGTGGTGAGAAATTAGGGGCTGGGTCATGGTCGACGGAACAGAGACAGCAGGATAGAGAGGAGGCAAACAGAGGCAGTGTTAGAGGGGAGAGGGAGAAGAAGACAGAAGGGCGAAGGCTGTGGAGGTGGTCAAGCTCAGCTCATGAGGGCGGGGCAAGCCGTGATACGAGATAAGCCCTTGCCCTTCGCCAAGGCCGAGGGCTCTGGCAGCGCAATTCACGTGTCTGGGCGGAGTCATCTAGATAAAACTGACGGGATGTCCTGCGGGAGGTGGCGATGAAATTGCTGCTTCAATTGATGCGCGCACTCGCGTAGATGACTGAGTGCAGTGACCGGTGACGCTTGGACGGCAGTATCCTGCAAGCTCCACAGGTCTTCGCCTGGTCTGCAATGGGTGAGCGGGAACATTAATGCTGCAGACGGAATTCCTTGCGACGGATTGGAAATGCTTCTGGTACAATTGGGCTCGATGGTCCTGTCCTATATCAGGCCGTCCATCAATGCCCATGGATATCATTTTGCCCCGCAGACCCCCGAACTCCTTCGTCCTTCCCGCACCCTGGAAAAGTTACTTTAATCCCAATACTTGAGAACACCATTCAAGTCGCCCGTAATCACCTTGGACGTCTCCCTCGGGTGCCACTGCACCGCCACGAGTGGGGAGTCGCTTGCCTGGATCTTGTGCCACATCTTGCACGTCTTCCAATCCCAGAAGCACACATAGCCACCGCTGTCTCCAGAGCTAACAAACTGCCCGTCGGGACTGATAGCCACATCGGGAGCATAGCCAGCCACATTGTGACCCCGGTAACTCTTCTTGCGGTTCTGGCGGAACCGGTCAGTCGAGGAATAGACAACGATCTGGTTGTCGGAGGACTGCATAGCAATGTATTTGCCTGACGGGTGCGGGGAGGACCGGACCATTGAGAACATGTATGGCTCAGCAATGTATTTGATGGGAACAGGGATACCATATTCCCACGCGCGGAGGGACTTGTCGTCGGAGGTAGTGACGAAGCGGCGGTTCTGCATTGGGTTAGCATCTGGCGCTGGAAGGATTGAGGAGGGCGTGCTGACCTCGTCGCAGAAGGTGATGGTATTGACAGGTCCCAAGTGATGATCGTATTCCTGCACCAGCTCTCCGCTCCTCACATCATACTGCAGGATCTTCTTATCGCTCATCCCAGCCAGGAACTCGTGCGGCGTGCTGGGGTTGATGCGCACAACATGCGGTGTCTTGCCAGACGTAAACCTGTTGATACACTTCCCAGTCTCTGTATCCCAGAGCTTCATGTAGCGGTCATAACTTGCTGAAATGAACTGTGTGCCTACGGGGTTGAAGTCGATATCGACAACCGATTTAGTGTGGCCCGAGTAGGTGCGGAGGAGCTCGCGCTGGTGGTACACGTCCCATAGAGCCATATTAGAGTCTGCTGATGCGGAAAGGAGGAGGTGTCCGCTGTCGGGGAAGAAGCGGACCTGGGTGATGGATTTCGTGTGGTACTTGTATGTGTGGACGAGTTTCTTAGGAATGAAGTTCTTCGCGTCGCCGCGATCGCCCGTCAGTTTGACATCCAGGTCTGGGAAATGTTAGTTTTAAAAATGTTATTCATAACAGGTTAGATGCAACGTACCATTCGGAACATGCATGTACGTCCTTCCCTGATAATCATATTCTTGACTCCCGACGAACTCGCTCCTCTCCCCATCACCGTCCGCGTCGGTTCCAGCAAGCTTCTTCGGTGGGGGCTCTGGGTTCGGCTCTATTTCATCCTCCTCATATACATACTCCACTTCGACATCTTCGGCATACTCGTCGTCCGGGGCAGCATCTGGGCGCTCCGCTTCGTATCGCGCCCACGGTCCTTTGTAAGCCCCTGGTCCCGATACAATGCCAGAGTCACCCTTCCCCTCCCTTTTCCTCTTCTTCGAGTTGGCATTTGGATTCCCTTGGATGGCTCGGTGGCCTGCGCGGAAAGTGGATTCGCTGATGAAGGTTTCCGCAGCCCACCCCGTTGGAACCCTTCCGGACCCTTTCCCGTATCCCGCCATTTTAGAGACGGAGCTTAAAGGAAGGCCCTAGTGCTATGACGTGAATTGAAGGGTGTTCGTGGTGGTGGAGGAGGTCGGGGTCGAGTAGCGGGGGTGCTAGCCGTAGAAGTTGGAGCGCGGTCCAGCTCCAACAAATTGTACATGCCAAGACCGCCAAGAGCGGGCCCTTCAATCATCTCCAAGGGCTTCGGGCTCTAATGAACAAGCCTGATGTGGCACTAGAGGTGGGGTGAACATGAGTGTTCATGTGTGCCGACATTACAGGCTTATCGGTACCTTCTTCTCTAAGCCGTTGGGAGATATTCGCCATCAGAGTAAAACCACTTGGACCTTGTCCTGGAGATGAAAAGTGTCATCCATTTACATGAAAAATACGGTATCATATCCTGTTACAACGTAGAATCTAGCCCGTCATCACCAGCCCACCAGCCGTCACCCTAACACCTAAGTCCCACCCATCCCTAGTACCACAATTGCCAACACAGCATGCCAACGGTGGTATATCTGTTTCTGCCCTATCCTAATATTCCATTCAACTCCTTCCTGTGCTCTTCATACATGTCTACTTCTCAGTACTTTAGATAATCGAAAGGTTGACCCAGACGGACACTTGGAATTTGGGTAATTCGTGCCGTACAGTGGTTCTAGTCAAGTTCCCAATTTAGTGAGCTTCGTCCCGGATGAGGGCCACAATCATGCTGTACAGGTAGAAGAAGAACATGATTAGATGGAAACCCAGTTTGATGAAGGATTCCTAGAAGATGGTATTAGTAAAATCTCCAGACTGCTTGCCTCGCGGCAGCACAACCGCAAGCAACGTCGAACCGCAGGCAGTGATTCTTGGTGTGATGGTTGCCTAAAGAGTGGAGGAAGAGAAACCACTCACTTTCTTGTGCACATTGAGCTTCCTGAAAATCTCGGTCGCGTCCAGAAGGTGTTGGTTCTCGAATATTCTTCCAAAAGTTAGCTCTCTAGACTGAACGGTCGCCATTTGGAGGACCATTTTCATACTTTTTGCCATTCCATACCAAGAGAGGCAAGTTCAGGATCAGCGCAATCCAGTATCCGTTGATGAGGAAGAGGAAAGTCAAGAAAGCGTGGACGGCGGCTTCGGGGACAATATAGGTGTTGAGGCGGTTGCAGAGATCAATCGGGTTGATGTAGTCACTAGCAACGAGGATGGTCAGCATTGCGTGGTAAAAGATGGAGAGCACTGGCTCATAAAGGACGGGAAACAGTGGGTGCCTAGTAGCCGATGCGAAGAGCTGGGAAGTTTACGAAGATGTACGCACCATTCCAAATCGCTGTACATTATAGTGAAGAAGACCTGTAGGAAGAGATTGACAGCATTTATCAGCACCGATAGTAGATACAGCCATGCTTCGCCAGACATCGCGGGAGGGTTTGGTGCGGCGTAGCACCAACTTCAAACCGGATCGAGTTGTAGAGGTGAGTAATGAAGCGCCTGAACCGTTTTTCAGCACAAACGGACCAAGACAGTGAGCAAGGCCAGATATCGGAGGCGGTCGTGTGGGTGGAGGTTATCGGCCTAGGCGCGGAAAACTAGCTTGTGAGTGGCGGGGTGTGGCTTGAGGATGGAACGATGATGACGTAGGATGAAGTGAGGCACGACAGGTAGGGAGGTGCAGAGTCGAATGAGGGCGTATCCACGGGCGAGGGCGAGTTGTCAGAGTGGGCAGGCAGCAAATGTTTTGGGATGACGTTCGTGAAGAGTTGGGATGTGCCTTCGTGCTTCAGTTGGCGGCCGGAAGGTGGTCAATGCGGCCCCCGCTAGCCGAGCTTCGCATGGGAGCGATGCTAGCAGATGAATGTTCTGCGAGCTCACTGGCATGCTGGGGAATCGGGACATTTGATAGTCGAGTGATTAAATTGATGTACGGAGAACTTCGGCTTAGATCCATAGTTCGGAGCGGGTGGCTGTTTCGTTTCGTGTAGCAAGCAAGCATAATGCCAAGGCCTGGCCACGAAGCTAGATCACTGACAATTGGGCACATTCAAACATAGTTCTTGCCTGCAGGCAATTGTAACGATGGTGGTATCTGTCAATAATGATATCTTAAAATGCCCCCATCAGGGTCGAGGCCCCTCTTTATGTGGCTACGACTGCCTCTCCGTTCGTACTTCCAGGCATCGGAACCGGCCCGCCTGGGGAGTCTGGAAACCTCGCCGTCAGAATTTCTACCCCAGTCTCCGTAACAAGCAATGTGTGTTCTAGGACTAATCAGCTTAGATATACACGATCCAAGTTAGCAACATACCGAATTGTGCTGTTCGGGTACCATCCTGTGTTACGCTAGTCCAGTCGTCCGGCCAGGTCTTATCCCTATGCGTTCCTAAGCTAATCATTGGCTCGATAGTGAAACACATTCCAGGTTTGGCCTGTCCGACCGCTTTATTCTTGGCGTAGTGTGGAACATTCGGCGCACAGTGGAATAGCTGATTGATTCCGTGCCCGCAATAGGTCTTGATGACGCTGCAATTCTTCGTCTTTGCGTGCTTCTCAATGACATTGCCGGGGTCACGGAACAGCATGCCTGGTTTCACAATTTCAATAGCGTTGTCGAGGCACTCCCGTGCTGTCTCCACTATCCGCACCGAGTCCGGGTCTGCCAGCGCCTTGTCCCCAATGTAATATGTCTCGTTAAGGTCACCGTGGAAGCCACCATGATATAGTGTTACGTCGATGTTGAGAATATCGCCATCCTGGAGAACTCGCTGATCCGGTATGCCGTGACAGATGACTTCGTTTGGTGACGTACATACAGACTTGGGGAAATGACAGTAGTTCAAGGGCGAGGGGTAAGACTGCAAACAGTAAGCTCCTATCCCCCCCGCACCGAGTGTGCAGAACGGGACTCACATCTCTCTCCAGACACGCCTTGTGGACGATTTCATCGATATAGTCGGTCGTCACTCCGGGCTTCGCCTCCCTAGCTGCGATATCCAAGACTTGTCGCGCCAGTCTGCAAACCTTGCGCATGCCTTCTATTTGTTTCGCATCCAATATTGTGATCTTATTCCTTCCCACGAAGACCTGCTCTGAGCGGGGTATGCCATCCTTCGCATAGTCTGGGTGTTGTATGCTCGCTGGTACTTGCCGTTTAGGCGACAGAGGGTATACGGGTCTCAGTGTTCCGGTGAAGGGAAACGTGGGGAAAGGGTTGAAGTGGCCAGTAGCTGGGTCGGGGTGAGAAACTACCTTGGGTGGGATGATGTTACGGAGTATATTACTTTGTGACTTGTGAAGTTTTTTATGTTCGGCCTACAGCATAGTTAGTATCTAATCCTGCTAACTATGACTGTTCTTACTATGTACCCAGTTGCGCTTAAAGCAGTCTTGAGAGCAGAAAAAACTCTCCTTCCCCAGCTTCTGACAGTTAGGGCACTGAAGCTGGCTGGCATCGTTCTCGCAATCCTTGCCCGTGCACTTGCGCGGAGCAGACACTTCTCTAGCCATAACAGTTTGTGAAAAATCTGGATTTCTAGGGGCGCGTTTGTGTGGGAGAAATGTGAAGTAATGGATGTCAGTGAAGTAGGTTCGAATCTTTCTTTTAAAGGAGCGTGGACAAGGTCCGCTTCAATCTACTCCGGACTCCGTGCAAAGGCTGTGGTGAAGGTGGTCAAATGTGGAATGCCGACTGTTTAAGTCGGAGAAAGGTCTGGACTCCGACTGGCATGAGCCACGTGCGCCGAGCCGAATTCCAAGCCTTCCAGCGTTTGATCGATAAAGGCGGGGCGGAGCGGGGCGGGATTTCATACTCCCGCCCAAGGGCCTAGGCTTTGTGGTCCCATGCAAACTCTAAGGACTTTTCCTAGCTGCTCATCATCTTCCAGCATCTCCGACATTCAATACCACTGATACAAGTCAGCCTCTGGACTTGTTTTCCGTAAATATGGTTTGATAATCGATTGATGCTTGATTCAATCCGGCCGCGGACCAATTCTCTGCACAAATCGCCACCTTATTTCACCTCCACCCTTTATCGGTAGATACCTCTTCTCAGAAATAGTTCGCCTTTCTCGTCTCCGCTGGGAAATGCCCCAAAAGGTGGTGATTGTGGGAGCAGGTCCCGTGGGATCACTCGCCGCACTGTATGCAGCAGCACGGGGAGATGTGGTTGAGATATATGAACTTAGACCTGGTAGGTTTGTGTTCCTTGTTCTGAGGTAACTGTTGAGGCTTCGCCGAGTACATACTAAGACCGTATGTATGCACTGCTGATATTTTAAAGACCTTCGAGATCCCGATACTGTCCCTCTGAACTTCTCCAAGTCCATCAACTTGGCTTTATCGGAGAGAGGCATCAACTCCTTGCGGAGATCCGGAATCACCCAAATTGCGGATTCTGTGCTTGGGCAGACATTTCCTATGCATGGTCGAATGATCCACCTGCGCAAACAAGGGAAATATGTTCGAGAGCCGCAGCTGTACGATGCCCGAGGCAAAGTAAGTGCGCCGTGTCCAAAGAGGTAGTGTTACTCAACAGGGTAGAATCTCCTGGCTATGGACCGGACAGGCCTCAACAAGACCCTTCTAGACTACCTAGAGGCCATGCCCAACGTCAGATTCTTTTTCAACCACAAGCTTGTGGGTGTTGATTTTAGGAAGAACCTAGCTTGGTTTGAGCGCCATGAGAATCCAGATCTTGCGGGAGGGACCGAAATCGAGTTGAGTTTCGACTTCATGATTGGCGCTGATGGCGCTCACTCAGCAGTCCGATACCACTTGATGAAGTTTGTGCCCATGGCATATCAACAGGAGTACATCGACAAGCTCTGGTGTCAATTTCACTTTCCGCCAACTGAGAGGGGTGATTTTAGGTTGCCACCAAATTATCTTCACATCTGGCCTCAGGATGAATCGATGTTCATTGCCCTCCCAAATCTCGACCAAACCTTTACTGCAACACTTTTCTTGACTCGATCGGGCTTTGAGCAACTCGATGCTTCGGGAAAGGTGGTTGAATACTTCAACTCCAAGTTCCCGGGAGTAGTGCCAGACCTCATCACAGAAGATGAACTACGCAAGCAGTACAGTACAAATCAACACTTGCCGCTCATCTCCATCAAATGCAGTCCATACCACTTCGGCACTTCGGGGGTAATAGTCGGGGATGCCGCACACGCGATGGTACCATTCTATGGACAAGGGATGAACGCCGGCCTTGAAGACGTCCGAGTCTTATTCGAATTTTTAGACAAATATCCCAATGATCGAGCAAAGGCACTCCAAGAATACACACAACAACGGGCCCCGGACGCCCAAACCATCAATGACCTCGCCCTCCGCAATTACCGAGAAATGGCTACGGATGTCAAACGACCGATGTACCTATTCCGCAAGTGGATTGAAGAAAGCCTAGATCTGTACGTGCCGAGCACTGGATGGGCAACCCAGTATTCCCGGATAACCTTCAGTAATATGCGATACTCTGAAGTCCAGAAAGCGTCGCAAAGGCAAGCTAGAATTCTTAACGGAGTTGTTGGATTGGTGCTTGCCTCAGTCATTGGCTCTAGCTTCTGGTTTGTACGGACAGGGGCAGCTTCTCGGATGAAGATGTCGATACTACGTTCCATTTGTTTCGTCGCGAGGCGAATGACTGGGAATCCCTAGGAACAGAATACAGTACGTGGAGGTGGTCGAGGTCGGATTCTCTTGCCTCATTGTACATGAAATGCTACTAAGTTCATAAAAGTCCATTATAGAGCCAATGTACATGGCGGGGATGTATTTCTTTTGAATCAAAACCTTTACGTTCTCAAAAGATTTCCTCCTCTGACGGGGGGAGCTACATTCAAGATAGCTAATCTCAACGTTCATTCAGTGAGCTCGATACGTTTCCAGCACAGCTGCCAAATTCTCTTCCTGTCTTACCAAGTACCGCAATTTAGCGTACTACTACAATCCCGCATCTCCTATCCACCTCTATCTACTTCCCTCTCTCCCCAGCAGCCTAAATCCCTTCTCCCCTACGATATAATCCACACACCCTTTCAAATATCTCTTAAAGTACGTCCACCCAAGTGTATGCCGCAGGCCATAAAATCAATCCTCACAAGATGCCGAGGCGAATGCAGGAGCATGTATTTTGTTGTATAGGATTGCACGGCGATGATAGGTTGCTGGCATATACTGCAGGTTCTTTCAGATTTGGGGAGTAAGGTGGGAGGAATGTAGTAGGTACGGGGGTAGAGGAAGGCAGGGAGGGAGGGGGGTGAGGATGGGGACGGGGGAGGAGATTTGGGGGGCTGGGGGTGAAGTTTGAGGTTTAGAGGAGGGTTGCAGATGGAAGATGGAAGAGGAACATAAAAAGTGGCTGAAGATGCCCAGGTGAAAAGGTTTGCGAGGTCAGATAAGCTCTTCTGTCCTGCTTGCAAACACCGACACGACAAGATTGACGGCTATGGGTAACATACTTCCCATGCAGGTAGGTGCAGCAACACGTCACTGGATTAAACAACGCGCTGTTAAAGAAACATAGTTGCTCCTGAGATCACCAACTAACATTCAACGAAACTAATTCCATCATTTGATCTGACGAGACTTAGAATAACCGTGAAACATCTGTTGAAAAATCACAACACCTCTAGGTCTTGCGAAACATTTAGATACGCTTAAATTGGTATATCTGAGTTATTCCACGTAAGTTTCCTGTGTTCTCATTTGAGAAGAACTAAATGCTACCCAGATCATTGTCATCCAGGCAGACTTAGAACAACCCCAAATTACACAGTACCATACATGCATATCAGCAGACTATTGTAACCACCAGCATCTTGTTTCTGTGCAGAAGCCACCTGCCCTAAACTTTGCTTCCAGTTAGAAACCCGCCGTTCGCATTCATCATTAGCTGTTAGATCGACAGTCCTTCCTGCACGGATGCGGGTGCTAGTCCTCGTAGATCTTCGCTCACGGTATATCGGGATTGCCATCATAGTCGTCAAAGAAGTCGAAGGCACTGGTTTCAGGGTCATGAGTGCGTCCAAAACTTGAGGCGGGACGCGAGTGGGACTAGAGTGAGCAGGCGCCGACCCTAAACGCTGTACCTGTTGACCTCCAGAGTAAGGAGGCGGGGGTGGGTTCAAGTGGTGACATGCTACCGATCGCCTCACTGATAAATTCTCCATATATTCGGCTAAATTCCCCGAGTAATGCGGCACTGGGTTGGGGACAAACGCCGGTAAAAGTACGCGTAGGAGCATTGAGGAAACCAGACTGAAGATGTGGTGAGTTAGCGAACCAAGCGCGGTTCCGGTTCCTACTCAAGCCCTTCCCCTCTTCCAGAACGGCCCCTTGCAGAGCGGGCAATGGCGAGAGCCTGGAGCTTGACCACTAAGGATTTAGGTGACGAGACACATGTTTCCAAAGACATGGCTGCAGTATGACAGAGAGATTCTCAGTTGTACTCCGCAATCACTGGAGATGGTGACTCTGGTTCGCGTTCACCGAAGTTGACCTGGGGAATGATGCAGGTGACTTCACCCTAGCGTAGAGTGCGAGTGGGGGACAAACATGGCGTCGTGAGCCAGGAACTCCGCTACGTTCGCAGGAGCTTGTGCCTCAAGATCTGGATCCACATGGCTGCGGGGATGTGGTGGGGATTCACCCCGGACTTGGCCAGCGCTTCCAACAAGGTGTAGTACTGTACGATTGGGCGATTTTGAGGCCTGTACGGGTGAGATTTTGTGTACGTTCGTACAACAGGGAGGAGAGGTGGGTGTACATATTATAACTGCTACAGCGTATGTAATCTGTACAAGTAGTACAATTTAATTAGAGTACACTATACTCTAGTTAAAACAGCTAAGATTATAGGTCTCTAAAGACATAGAATTAAGGTCTAATTAGCTATAAGATAACCAATTCTTTTTAGAAATAAAAGTAGAGAGGTTTAAAAGCTAGCTGCTTACGAGTTTATACATTAGCTAGTTCTTCTAAATTTAAATCGCCCTAATTATTAGTTACTATATAACCAGCTACACTAAATACTTCTTACACTTACAAATAGTAGCTAGGATAGTAAGGAAATTAAGAGCAAGCTTAAAGAGAATAATATAGGTTAGTTTGCCTCTATTAGTTAACTATAGTAAGGCACTGTGCAGAGGACCCTCCTGCTATAGTGTATGATATCACCCTCACAACAAGGTTGCTGCAGTGGCTGTACGCTATTAGGTAAGAGCTCTCTGTAAGGACAAGGCTCTGTACCACCGCCAATACAACCAAAAGGTGCGAATAATCAGTCAACAGTTAATTTTGCGTACAGAACAGTATATATGCCATACACTCTCTATTAAAGTTAACCTTATGCTCGCTTAGATCTACCACCTTTAAAGCCTCTTAAGAGCCTTGCTTATAACACTTACAGCAGAGCTAGAGGCAGATTACCTTGCACTGTTTCTCTAAGAGCATTAAACCTGCGCTATAAGCCTACACCTTTAACAGTGTGTGATTGCCTTGCAATGTAGTCCTTACAAAACTTTTAGCTAATTAGAGCCCTAGAAAGCCCATAGACGCTCCCTATAAGCCTACTGCTTCCTAGAGCCCTCTTACATCTCTAGAATCACTATAAAAACTTCCTAAAGGGTAATATGCTCCTGCTACGTACTGTACCTAGGGCATCATTAAACGTACGGTGTGGCTCACGAACTCGGTAGGTTCGTACTAAACACGTGACCGTTACGGTTCTCTTTGTACAGACCGTAGTACGGCCCGTTGGAAGTCCTGGACTTGGCCAAGGGGGCGGTTTCTCTGAACCGTAGTACGGACGACGCTCTGTACCTTAATAGCCGGTAGCCTCCTAAATTCGTTCGCAGTCACGTTTCCAGGAGTCGTTTCAGTGGCTCGATCCATCGAGCTCGTGTTCGAACGAAGGAAAGTTCGTGGCCAGAAACCATGGAAGCTCGGAATCTCGCCGGCAATTCTTCTTCAAAAGCAGCATTGACAAGATCGTTGAGAGCTTGGCGAGAATTCGACGACGATGTCCAATTCGCTGAATGGCTGTTGGCAGCCCTGCTTCTTGGAGTAGTTAAGGTGGGTTAGTCTCTCACGGCTGGCGCTTGAGAGGGCTAGTGTTGCTGGAATCTTAGAGAGCTTGGATTCTTGCCAACGCATCGGCAAGGTTGGTGCCATCCTGGGGAGAGTCTGGCGATGGCGTACTAGTAGCTGAATTGTTGGCCGCACCTAGGAGGCCGGCAGAGTTGCGGGTGGCCATATCAGGGGCCTCGTACTGATGAGTGCGCCGAGTGGAAGGTTCCATCGCATCGTTTTTGTCATAGTTGTCAGTGGACCGAGGGAAAATCGTGAACGTTGACTAGAAAGATGGCCGTCAAAGCCGCCATGTATTTCTGGCAGTGAAAGTTGCAGAGTCGCACCACGAAGGCCAGGGTGTCACGGGTGACCAGCTATTGGAGCGAGGGCGGTGACTCGCGCCCGGCACGTTACTAACACAGAAGAGTGCGTTTGAGCAGTGAACGCCGGCGACGACAGCGTGGGCGAGGAGACTTTCAAACGACGTGTTGATCGGGGCATGGAGAACTGTGGACTTAGAAGCGCAGACCGTCACATGCTCTTGTGAGACATTAGCTTCGCGCAGGTATCTATCTTGATTAATATTTCGGCTGTAGCCAAGTCGTTTCCTTTCAAGTCAACTGTTATTACTCTCATACTGGTTTCAATCAAATAGTCTTGTACTCATCAATTTTTGCATGGAGAAAGTCTGGAGTCCTGTTGTCTGTCCCATGTTTGTCTTCATGTGCTGCTATCCTGCTGCTCATATACTGTGGATTGTTTCTGAATAGCAATTGATGGTACATTAGATCTCAAAGAATGGCTGATTTTAAGACAACTAGGAATCTTAATACCGCACGTTCTCTAAGAGGAATATTTGGGAACCGACTCCTAATATCCTCCACGAGATATGATGCACGATCACACGCCTAACCCAAATGCGGTAAACCTCAGCCACTCTCCTGACTTCTTCTACCTTTCGTACTACCATTTCCTCTTCACAATTTTAAGCAATCGAAATCAGTGAGCTAGACGGATCGTTGCTTCTAGAGGTGGGTTGTAGGCCCGAGCGGTATCTACGATGAACAGTGTCGGACTCCGGGGTGGATGTGAGGAGGGAATTGAGATCTACAGCAAGGTGTGATAGATGAGAGTGACAAAGGATTCCACGGCTGTGTCTTGAAGGAGACATGGAGTATTGAAGAATGGCGGAACAAAGAGATGGAGCAAACGCTTGATGTCATTTAGATATCCTAAGTTCGAAAAGCTTTCTCCCTCATCCCAGGTCTTGGCTGTATTAAAAACAAGTACTACTAACGAAGGAAAACTCAATTAGACCCCAAAGTCGTGCGCCTGGTGATAAATTTTCTTGGTGAATTTATAGGGAAGATAATTTCTCTTATTCAGTGCGTTACTTTGTAGCTTTATCCTATGAGCAATTTCCTTTGCTTTCCATGATCTAACTGAAGTTCCATGACCGAATCAAATCCATCCGGGACTCAAAAAATCATTCCAAGCTTCCTCCAAAGCTTCCTCCAACTGCAGAAGCCTAGGCCGATCGACGTTTTTCTGGCTAAGAAGATCTCGTACAAGAAGTAGCCCAGCGTCGAGACTCTGCATTATCCTCTCCCTTCTTGCAAATGGTCTCGGGAACCACACAGCGCGGCATATTGGACACCGGTGGCTCCAAGGTTGACGAGCGCGGATGTGAGTTTCAAGGCAAAGACGACCGAATGTATGCCTGCATTCTCCAGAGTTGACTATCTGCACGGGATATTCGTGAGTGTCCGCAGGAAGTATCGGGTGCACCCAACGGGTGTCGCGTTCTACGTACGCGCAAGAGCATATGGAGCAGTTGAGAGAACAGGGGGATATAGAAGATAATGAAACGGGGATAGTATGGTTAGTGAGGAAGTTGGATATCATGGGTTCGGGAATTCGTTGATGGGTTGCCATCGCGAGGTGGATAATGATCGGTATTATGGAATGTGTAGGATAGATGGAGAGGCAATGGGAAAACAAAGTGCATGGCCGGCTGTATTGAATAGAACGAGAGCTGATATGTGAATAATTAGGGTACGTATATCAATTTTGCTTTGCATTATTCACGTGTCCGAGGGGTCTCTAACAGTGCATAGGATTTTACAGTTCCACATTAATGCTTAATTCGTGGCCCACGCAAGACACGTCACGAACTCCCTTTCTCATAGCCACCACTATATTCATAGAAAGGGGTATAGGCGCCCAATATCTCCCCAATAAAACCTCTTGGGACACGATAAAATATTATACATCACGTGTATCAAGGCGAGACCCTGCAACTATTTCACATTGTGGAACCTATGGCCTATGTCGGTCCATGCACTCTCACAATTGGGGCATGAACATCCAACTTGAAACATCGACTATGACGTCCTCCATAACAATACTGTTCGTGAAGTTTACGTCTTAGCCACTCCTTCTCCTTCTCACATCCTCAAGCTGCATCCAGAGTCTCTCGACTGCGATATCTAACTGCGATACACGCTGCGTCGTTTCCTCATCCCAATCGTCAATTTCGAATTCAGGTAGCATCCGCTCAAGGAATCCAAGTGTTCGATGCAGTCTCCCTCTATTGGACAGTCCATGCTCCTGGGGTAGAGGCGGCGAATCTTCCGGGTCTGTTTGCGGACCCTGCACTACTTCTGGAGCATCGTGAATCGGTACTGGCTCAGGAGCGCCCATGATCCTCAAATTGTAATGGAGTGGTAGGTTAATTCGGACCGGCGCCAAGTTATGCTCACCTGTAGCAGCTGGCGCCCGAGCAGCGGGAGTAAGAGCAGAAGGAGTAAGAGCAACAGGAGCATTCGCCAACGGCCAGCCTTCCAGTGGGCGAAACCATATCTCTCTACAAATCGGACATCTTGTAGCCCAAGGCCCACCACATCTGAAATGGTTGCCGAGACATTGAGTTCCAAATACATGCCGACATAATGTGTTTGGGTTCTCGCTGAGCACGCGAACAGGGTATTCTTCGCCAGCACGGATGGGTAAATGATTACGTCCCCAACGGCCGTACGGCTCGCGACAAATAGGGCAGTTGCGATCGGACTCAGGGAGATCGTTCGCATCAACAGCAGTAGTTGACTGGATATATCTTTGAATCGTAGGTTCATCTATTGGTGGCATTTTGCTATCTCGGTTTGCGTTCGGTAGGCTGTATTGTTAAAACGTTGGAGAAGTATTACCATTCTTGCGGGTCTAACTTTATCTGTCTGATGTTAGAGGCCCGTTTGAGGCAGACCTGGTGAATGAAACGCAAGCGTTGCCGTAAGTAAAGTGCACCTCTTCACAAGGAAATGACGAACAAGGAACACAGGGTGTTGATAATTCCATTCACTCAAGATTATTCTTTTTTAGACACACTCCGTTTAGAATGCTTAACTTGGAATTCCTAGCTACTGCTGCCAATTACTTGTCAATTAAGCAAGCAAATTTGAAATGCTACGCCACCTTCTGCGAGTGAAGATACTTCCCGATATGCGCAATATGTTTGGCGAAATATTCTGGGGCTCGCTGCTAGGTGGTGCTGTGAGTTTGCTTCTGCCACTTTCTCCGCTACTGCGGTTGCTGTTCTTTGAAGCCCTTGTGTAAGTGCATAGACGAACGTGTGCCCCATTTCATTCGCTAGGATACGAGAGTGGTAGTCATACACAGTGACTTACTAGTTGTCAAATATTTGGATTGAATTGAGGGTTTCATTAATATAAATGCAGCAGAGGGCAATGGGGTAGCGATGGAGAACTGTCACGGATTGAAATTCTTTGGTAGCGGCATGCACATAGTAAGAGAGCAGTTGTATTAACGCGCTACGGACACTGAGTCACAAGACCTAAAATTCTTTCCCAAATAGAAATTTACGGAATCTTGGAAACTTGCAGCCAGATATCCAGTTATTTGAGGTAGAGAGGCCAGAGTAATGTTCTGGCTACTTCGCTGCATTGCATTGCGATTGGAGCCAGTCTCTCCTCGTAGACAGCTTCCAAGAACTCCTGTATTAAATCATCTTCTCTATTCGCCAAATTCCACACTGAGCATTCACAGCCCTTCCAGCCGTAGCATAATGGCTTGAGGACCTGGTTAACTTGACCTCATTCTCCGGATATGTAGTAAACTAGTAGGCTAAGTAAATAATACATCGGGATAGACTAGTAGGGTATTGAAAGATCACGAACTCTTCAAGAAATGGGTTGCATCCTTAGTAACAGCACGTGTCTGGATTGGTGCAGATATTGATTTGGCTGCAGCAGAGTGTATATATCACATATCAGTCAGTTGTCTTGGCGCATGATGCGGAAACCAAGGTGTAGTGTTGATCTACAAGATCCTCAACCGTGACAGAGCTTGAAGATGATGTGGTCGCCATTCAGGAGGTATATATCTCTTAAGTTTATGATTGATTAAACCTAGCGGGATTGCGATATATTTAAAGGGAGTGACTCAACATAGAGAGAAAGTACTCGGGCATAATGTGCGCCTGAGCAATGCTTTGAAGGCGGAGATGAAGGGTCCCTAAACATGAGCTATGTTGACAACGTAAATTTGGTGAAGGATGAAGTTAGCATATATCTCTAGATCCCGAAGAGTGGCCAATTCCTCCTCGCGATTCGTCGTTAAAGCTACTTTTCTCACCCCGTCATTCCTCCCATAGGGCTGCCAACCTTGGGCTTGGAGCCCTACAAAACTATATCCAATAAACAGGACCTCCAGCTAAATGACGCCTCCCTAGTTCCCGTCCGAATATTAACCCAAAGGTAGAATAAACCGCGTGCACTTATACAACCTACCAACGAGATGAACCTCGTAAGGCAGCAGCTCAAGAGTATACAGCCAACCACTTCCACCACCGAGGCGTCCCTTCAATCCAGTTTGATGCAATCACCACTCTAAATTATCTCTTTAACTCTCCGCCGAGCCTTTCACTCCCGTCCATTATGCGCTATACAGACAATCACCTAATGCTGAATCAACAAGTCCACAACCACCCCCAAACCCAGACGTCCGCTGCGGCGTCTGCAACTGGACTGTGCTGGAAGCAAGCTAGGAATTTAACACTCCTTGCACAATTGTTCCTCTCGTACGTACCGTGCGGGCACTGGATCCACTATGAATGTCTCATATGGTAGGCAACACGCATCCAAACCGAGAAAGACCAATGCCCTTCTTGTCACACCCAGCTACTTCAATGGGATGGTATATCTGCACTCACCCTCCCTGAATGCTCACATATGAACGTGGAGATCGGAGATCTGGATCCTGGATCCTGGATATAAGGACCCGACCACCGGCCACGGCATCTTCAACGACTTCCACGAATATCTTGTTGAATGCGAGATTATTGAGAGTACCGTCGAACATCGTTTCTATATTAAGTGGATGGCAGTGAACGAGGAGGACATGGATGTCATAGATCTCACGCGTATCTTCTACGAGACCCTGGGCGAGATTGAGGAGAGGGGTATCCCGAAGTGTAGGTACTAACAATGGAAGGGAAGGTGGGTATCTACTTTTCGGAATGCTCGTGGCAACTAAGTTGGAGCCATGGGGGGTGAGATGAAACCGATTTATATGGGACTGGTTGGAGAGTGTTTACGCCGGGGAAGGGGGGGCTGAGGGAAGATGTTAGGGCGGTGGTAGATGCTCCTGATGAAGGAGATCCGTGGATTGAATAAGACCCTGGTTGGGAAGAGGATTAAGAGAGGAGTGTTGTGGGTTGTAGTAGACGAGTTGGTGGCGCTTTCCCTCCTCTGCCGAGAGAGTCTGAAGACTGAAAATGGGGCAGGTGGTGCAACTCCTCAAGGAAGAGAATTGTCGGAAAGAGCCTCCTTGTGTAGGTCCAGCCTCGGTATACCTACTCGCCCATCATCGTTTAGGGTCATCTTGGCTCTTCTGCTTCCTGTAATCATACAGATAATTATTCATACCTAAGGTTATACCTAGATTTTTGTACCGATGCAACCTAGCTGAGGCTAGCAGAGGAATATCCATGTAAAGGTGCTGGAAACAGTGACCCTTACGTGACTGTTGCCATTGAAGCCTAGATACTATGACCTAGAGAGGACAGTAGAGACTCTTAAGGGGAGGAGATGTGTTAGAGAGAGAACTAGTTCGTATCAATTCAAAAGATTATTTCTGCATTAGTTCACACCTCCCTCTGTAAGAGAAGGGGTACGCAGTCGCCATTTCTTTACCGTTCCCCAATGATAGTCTGGTACTGCAAAGATTAAACGTAGTCCTCATCTGGCCCATATAGACCGTCCTCAGCTCCATCCTGCTCTCCTACCCTCTCTTCCACCGCCACATGTCTGCCTGGGGCTGGACTTTCTATGCTTGTTCTCTTCATCGCCCTTACCAAGGATTCTTCTTCTGTTCTTTTCTGTCGCCTTGTCGTAAACCGCACAGCTCGCGCTTCGATTCCCAATTCACAGGCCATGACATGCTCGTTGATCCGTTTCCAATCTTGCTCCCAAGATCCAAATTCTTCCTTGCATAAAGCACATACCCAACCTGAGCCTCTTTTGCTTCTCGAAAAAGGCCACATCCATGATTTCGGGATATCTTTTGGTGCAAAGTCTTTCCAGCCGTGCCAGTTCTCCAAGTGTAATTTCATTTTGTCATCGCGAGGCGCTTGAAAAGGGAGCGAGTGATACTTTTGCGCACAAGGGACTATGCAATGAAGTGTGCATGTATCTAGAAGGCAGGTCCAGCGAGTCTTATTTGGGTTGTGCTCGCAATGACTGCGTTCATGTCGATCTCGTTCACCCTTCCTTGGGAAAATGCCATCGCAAGGAGCGTATTGACAGGTAAAGCTCCCACTAGACATAGTTGATTGCAGAGTTCCGCCTGGGACATAGGAGATGGAGGCGTCGGATGCGAAGCTGGATCCTTTACTCCCACGACTGTTGGAGGTTGAGGATGACCAACGCAGTTTTGGATTTGCGACCTGGGAGCCGTACGACACGTAGGATTGCACAGAGTTGCACCCTGAGCGTCCTCTATGTTGTGAGGTACGATTATCTTGGGGCAGGCCAAATTGTTGCATTTGATGAGAATGCACTAGATACGACGAGCTTAGAGATCTCTGGGAGGGAATTGCTTGATACGAAGCATTCGGGTATTGGAAAGATGTACCAGAATCATCAGTGTTACTTGGGGGATAGTACACAGAGGACTGAGCAGAGTCTACAGAAGTTAGAGTATGGAGTCCCTGGAAGATCCTATCCAACATCTCGTGATCATCAAATGCATTTGCAGGGGGATCAGATGGTGATGACATAGAATGATCGTCTATTTGGGATTGCGGCCGATAATTTCTAGCATCGTAATATGAAACTTGAGGCTCGTTCAGTTCGCAAACAGCTTTCGAAATAGGGGGGGGAGTAGTGCCAGTTGAAGGATCTCATGATTGTCAGCATTCGAGAATAGATGCAGAAATTGAGACTCACTGGAGACTGGTTGGGGTGATGCAATGCTTTGGACTAGTTGTAGAATGAGTCGCTTCTTGTCCACGGGAACGTGAGTAAGCAGTGAATGTATGTGCTGGTCTAGCTGTGAATCGGAGCATTGGCTTTGCTGCACTAAATGCCCAGATGCGGGCGCGATGTGTGAAGGATGTCCCTGAGTTTGCGGAAGATCTCCGCCGTTGGCCGAGCGGGATCGAGCTGGATCTGGATGAACGCTAAGAGATGGTGGAGGTGCATTGGCCAATTGCGCTTGAGGGAGTTGAGCAGCCGGCCAACTTTCCCCAGTCCAGTACCGAAGAGGCGGGTCCATGTGTGTTCACGTGTATTAAAAGATGCTATTAGGGTAGGAAAAAGCGAGAGACGAATATCTATTTGAAAAGCCAGCTGGTTGAGGAGATACTAATTAATATTATCAGTTGATCATAAGAACAGATTAGAGGGCGATTATGCATGAAGCCACCGAATTTGATCGGGATATGCACATGCTTGACCGGTCGTTGCCTTCTCGAGGGCGTAGCTTGTTCGGTTTTGCCTTGGAAGTTTTCAAACTTCCTCCGGACGAGGGCGTCCACCGCTGTCCAGGGTGCCTTGCTCGGTGAGGCTCCTTAGGCTAAGACAGAAATCGGAGGCGAGAAGAGGGAATGACCCCTGACTGAAAAAGGTCATCGAAAACATGTGTTGTCAGAGAACTTACCCTTCAGCCCTATAAGGCTTACATCAGAGCACGCTGTTATTGAAATGGTCAGCAGAACAAAAATCCCTCACTTCTGGGCAAACGTTTCCGGAGAGTCGTGCTATCCGTCGCGTACTGTTAGAGAACCATAGATAATAGTTTGGAGATTTCTCTTGTACGATATGAAAACCGGGGAAGACGGGCCATAGAAATGGTAAATGAAACGAGACGGGGCGAGCCATATATGTATCATTCTTCGCACGACTTTCTATGGAACATGGCAATCACTGAGGGCCCAGAAGTCAGAGTTTGGAAAAAAGGTCAGAGAGGATATGCGACGGATGCGAGACACAGCGTGTTCCAGATGGGAGGCATCTGGTCTCCTTCTAAGCACTCCAGAAAGAACGAAAAAGAGCCTTGGGTGATCTCCGCCACTCTGCCTGCAGCTAAGATTCAGGTTTCGCGATTCTTGTGGATGAGCGAGGAGTGATCAGATCAGAGAAACAGGAACACAATGAGCGAGGTTGGGTTCGAATCTTATGCTGACTAATTGAGGAGTATCTTGGCACGCACTGGCCATTGGGTTTTCCAACCCCGTCATCATTACGACAAGTAACAGCAGGTAGAAACCGGAGGGCTGCCCAATCCACCATGGACTTGGCGTTCCACAATACTATATAAATCACATGCTCCTCGGACCCTCAGTCCACAATACCTACATGACTCCTCTAAAAACTCGTGCCCTGAAAGGTTACGACATGTTATCGCATAACGTGGAAGATAACCAAAGCAAAGTCTATCTGTTAAACCTCTTGCTGGGATGGGCGGAAGGCTGACAGAGTGTAAATTCTGTCCTGAATCGCCCCCCTGTCATGTTCTACAGTAACTAAGTGAAGACATGCAGTATCTTGCCTTAGTCATAGAACTCCGCTCTTTCAAACGTATCAGTATTCGATTCAGTGACAACATTAGCCTTAATGATCCCCACGGTAGCCTCTAGGTACTCAAGGTCCAATCTTCGGGAAACCCCGGTCGGAGTTTGGAGAGCAATGCTTCGACCAAGCGAGTTTCCCGATTGATGGCGCTCCTTACAAACGGAATGATAAACCTCACTGTATCAGGAGCAATGATGCCGTCTGTTTCTTGCGCGAGGATGGGGATTTTGATTAATCTAGCATAATCTCCAGACTATCGCCCTGTAAGAGCAGCAAATCTAATTCTATAGCCTGCAGCGTGTTCAACGTAGCGTACTACGCTTCGTGTAAGCCTTTGCAAACTACGCTACAGATTGTATAGAGACCACTTATGTACAGAAGCTAGGGAAAAACGTTAAGGACAGGCTATAGTTGTAGTACACTGTTAAGAGTAAATTATAGATTGTAGTTATTATTTTTAGCAATTTCTAATTTCTTTTAAAGAGCTTCTAGGTTTAATTCTAGCTACTAGAGACTTATTTTACTCTTCTTATCTATGTAATCTAAAAGCTAGAGTAGCTTACTTTTAACAACATTCTAGTAGAGCTTATATTTTTTAAAGTTAAAAGGCTGTAATTATTTTACTAGAAAGCTAATTATAATTAATAACATACTCTAATTGTCGCGATCAGGCTCGAACTTGGCCGCTTGCGGCCATATTGGACCAGAATGGACAAAGAACGATCAGCCGGATGCAGCAAGGCACAGAACAAGTAGCATGTATATAAGTAGTAACAAATCTCTACCTTAGAGGGCAGCAGTAGGTCTTAGACAGTGTTATAATAGTTTAGAGTGTAGTAAAAAGATTATTTACTGCTTAGTAAATTAAATGCCTTTTAGCGTGTTTATTAAGCTTTAGAGGCTAGCCTATACGCAGGGCTTTTGTATAGATAGGCTAGGGCTGCTTGCGCAGCTAGCAGATGTTATATGTAACTGTTAACTTAGAAATGCTAAGATAACTTAAAATTTTGCTAGCGCTTATGCTGTAAAGGCAGAATTACTATATTATATTAATAGTAAACTTAGATAGCTCTTTACGCAAGGTTTTATTTACTTTTGTAACTATTAAAAAAGGTAGTAATTTAATTAAGTTACTGTCCGTACGCAGCAGCAGCGTCACGGCCTGGATACGAGCGATCGCGCACGAGCAGGATCACGTATCTATGTCACATGATGCTCGTGCGCGAACCTCTGTGCGCGAACATCTAGATATCCCCCTTTTCCTCTGTACAGAGGAAAGACAAGAGTAATAAAACTAGAAACATGTTACTCTTACTTTACCTACTTTATACACTATGCACACTATATACTACTCTTACTCTTACTACTTAAGTGCTTATACTATAAGCAGCTAGCTATTAAAGCCTATTTAACACTAATTAATAGTTAATTTAATTAACTATAAATTAGTAAAAGTAATAATAAAGTACTTATACTTTATAAAGTACTTTATTTTATTACTTATTTTTTAAAAAGAGTAATAATAAAGCACTTACACCTTATAAAGTACTTTGTTTAGTTACTTATTTTTTAAAATAGTAGATTAATTCTTTGCATTATATAGTAAGCCCTACTACTGTATAAAGTAAAAAGAAGATAGTGTAAAACACACACTAAAGCTATTAAAGCTGCATAACCTAGTAGCTAGATAATAGCATATTAATTTTTTACATTATATAGTAAGCTCTGCTACTGTATAAAGTAAGAAGAAGATAGTGTAAAGTGCATACTAAAGCTATTAAAGCTACATAACCTAGTAGCTAAATAATAGCAGTACTTGTATAATTTACTGCATAAGTAATTAACTTTATACTTTATAAGGCACTTTATTTTATTACTTATCTTTTAGAAAGAGTAATAATAAAGCACTTACACTTTATAAAGTACTTTATTTAGTTACTTATTTTTTAGAATAGTAGATTAATTCTTTACATTATATAGTAAGCTCTACTACTATATAAAGTAAAAAGAAGATAGTGTAAAGTGCACACTAAAGCTATTAAAGCTGTACAACCTAGTAGCTAAATAACAGCAGTACCTATGTAATTTACTAAAAAAGTAATTAACTATACTATTATAATAAAATCTTACTAGCAACTAATAACTTTATGTAATAATAAAAAAAATAAAGAATAATTCTTATTATATAAATAACTTATAAAAGACATAAAGATATTAAAGGTAACACTATAAAATAAGACTAGCCTAGAGTACTAGAATAATAAGATTAACATGTTAGAAGCTTTAATAAGCCTATAGACTTAATTATATATAAGTTATATAATTACTAATTTATATATAATAACTTAAAAAGGCGCTACTTTTCTAAGTTTATATATAAAAGATTTTAAAAAATAAACACTATAAAACTTTTTAGCACTTAGCTATATGTTTAAAAAAAAGCTTATATAAGTGCTAAAAAATAAAAGAATTACACTATAGCTAAGCACTAAAAGTACCTAAGCCTAAAAGCTATATAATATAGCATAAAAAAAGTAATTATACTAAAAAAGCTTTATATATAACCTCTATTACTATATAAAGCTTTATATAGAAGCAGACTAAACATAATGCTGCTATTAACACTAAATGTACTAGTATTACTTGCTCTTATACTTTAGCTAGCACTACACTAATTACTGTATAAACAATACATGCTACCCTACCTAACGCCTGCTCTACACCCTTAATTGTACACACCACTGCCTGCAGTAGTGTATGCACTACTAATACCACCTACACAATCTATACTACATTATAACTTGTATAAACTTCTACCCTAGAGGGAAACTACTAAAGAAAAACTCTTAGTAAATAAGATTATATAATTTTAAAAAGCATAAAAAAAATAATAACTATATAAGTTAACTATATAATATTTTTATAAATAAAATAAAGATTTTTATTAATTTATGTTAATAGCTAAATATTTAAAAAACTTAATACATAGACATCTTTCTAGATATTCTAGAAAGTTAGGTAAATATGCACTATATACATAACATAGGCTCTAGACATAACTAAAAGCATTTATACAACACTTTAAGCATTATAATAAAAAATTTTATGTAAAAAGAAAAAAAAACTATAAAAGGTAAAGTTCTACATAAAAAGTAAAACTATTTTAGTAGAGAAGTAGCCTATTAAGTTTAATAGTAAAAGAATTAAACTTACACATAACATAGTAGTTTTTACTTAGAAAAGATAAGTAAGCTACCTTTATATAATTAACTTAAAAAATAAAGATGCTGCATAATAATATGTTAAGCAACATGTAAAAGAGGTATACATTGCATTTATATGTTAACTAGAGGTAGTATTTAACCTCTTTATTACTACACAAACTATAGACTCTTTATATAATAACATTAACATACTTAACGCATAAATCTAATAGTAAATAGATAATAGTAAGCGTAGTCTTACCTTTCTACTATTATAGCTTAATTATATAAAGCTATTTATTTTTATAAATAAATTATTTACTAATAATAAGAACTTTAGCTTATAGCTAAGATTCTTAATTATATTAAGTAATAAAGACTATATAAAGTAAAGCAACTACTTTAAAATACTAGGCAACATTATACACTAGAATTTTACTAAGTGTAAAAGAGTAACTAGAAGTGTCCTTACTAGTAAACTATATAGAATAGTTAGAGGGTTTAATAATGTAATTACTCTTAGTACAACTTTATAGCAAATTATATAAACACTTAAACTACTACTAATTCTAGTAGTAATCTGCACAGATTTAAGGTTTCTGTATAATTGCCTAGTTAAGCTAGGCACTACTAGTAAAAAGTAACTTATAATTAACATTATGTTGCTCTATAAATTATATAAGAAGAGGGAAATTGCTAAGATAAAGTAGATTAATAGTAAAGATAACCTAGCAGATGCATAAGCATTTGTAGACTAGCTAGATCCTGTGCGCAAAAATGCTCTAGACTAACTAGACTAATAACACCTTTATATAAAGCCTATCTTTTTTATTTTTTTTTATTATACACACTTATTTTTCTTATTATAAGATTAGAAAAGAAGGATATATAAAAAAGATAGTTTATTTATCTAGTATACAGGAAAAGAAAAACACACTACCCCTTATGTGTAGTAGTCACAATGCAGACTACAGCTCTACTATACACATAAGGCGCAGGCATTAGCTTAGAAGTTAGCTAACATATAACACTTAATAAAAAAAAAGCACTAGTAGTGCTACTATAATAATAAGCACATAGAGTTGCTAGAACCTAACTACAACTCTAGACTAAGACTACATAAAAGTACTTTTTATAACACATAACCTTTGCTGCCTACAGCTGCAGATTAGTGCTAGTAGGTAAGACAACATTAATATTATAAAATAGTAAAGCTGCTATATGCTACTTCTTAGCCTATTTATAATTAGCATTTTATATAAAGAGAAAGTAAAAAAGCTAAAAGATTTATATATTTATACTAAGATACTAAATAAACTACTAATTAGTAGTAAAACTAGTTAAAAAAGTAACATAAATGCGCTCTAGGCTACTAGACTGCACAAGAACGTTAAAGACGCCTGCACTAACAGCGCTAGAGGTAGAGAAGGAAGGCTAAAAAGACATCTCTCTCTCTATGTATGTGTGTGTGTGTGTGTGTGTGTGTGCAGGCAGGAGTATCTATTACTGTTAGCACTATACAAAAAAAGAAAAGAGCTAGGGAATTATATAGTAAGGCTTAAAAAGTAAAAGATAAAAAAAAAAAGTAAAAAAAAAAATTTTTTTATTATATACACCTTTTTATATACCTGCTTATGTAAAGATTTTATACTATTCTAGTATAAAACTTTACATAAAATAGTTTATACACTGCTAAATTACTTATAAAGTAAGTGCATAAAGGCTAGATAATAATAGCCTAAAACACTTTACTGTCCGTACATAAGTACAGCTGTGTCTGTACACGCGTACAGCTAAATTAGGTTGCCTGAAACGTTAGCTATCTAGCCTATGCGTTAGAGGCTATGTGTACTTAAAAGCCCTCTTTCTTTGTATAAAGAGAGAGGGCAGTAGTTAATAATAAGAAAATCTTTACCTACTTACCTCTTAGTACGCCCTTTAGGCGTATGTTTATTTAATTAAACTTAAGTTAACTAATACTAATTAGTCTATTAATAGACTATTTACTGCGTGTGTAGCTACGTAGAGGATATTATCCTTAACAGACAGATTTATAAGGATTAATAAAACTACTACTGTACAAGAAGCTTACACCTACCGCGTGTGTAGCTACATAGAGAAGGTACAAAGAAGCTTACATCTACTATGTGCGTAGCCACACAGAGAGGGGTGAGCAAGCCTTATGCGCGCCCTTAGATTAACTAATTGCACAAAGACAAGATTAGCAACCTGCTGTGTGCGTAGCCACACAGAGAGGGCTTACTGCTAAGCCTTTATGCGCCCTAGAGCCTCCTGTTAACACAGGCTGTGCAACTACTCGCCTACCGCGTGCGTAGCCACGCAGAGGAGACAATACAGGCCGCACAATTAGAAACCTACCGCGTGCGTAGCTACGCAGAGGAGGCTCCTTATTAGCAGCCTGCCTTGTTAACACCCCCTTAATTAATTGCCTGCATAAGAGGCAATTAATTAGTTAACATCTATC